TTCAAGGTCCCTTCGGGCACGAGAATGCGTCTCACAGAGCGTATCCGACGTTATCCATTTCGACTTATACTCGTTCATCGTAGCAGCAAGTACAGCTTTCTGTTTTTCGATTTCCCGACCTCGGCCCTGCTCCGCACTAAGTTGTAGTTTCAACGCTTCAAGCTCTGATACAAGAAACTGAACCTCTGCGTCCTTTCTCGTGACCGTTTCATTGACTTCGACGTTTTCTTTCTTCGATCTGCTCAATTGCGCTTCTAAATCCTGTCTCGCTTTTTCTAAATCATCCTCCAACTCCGCAACATGCCTGTCGAACTCCATCTTTGCACTGTCCAGCTGACTTGAAAGCTTCTCAGCCTCTTTCCTAGTAGATTCCTCAAAGCTGCGGTTCCATCCATCATTTTCCACTTCCAAGCCCACTACTTTCTCTTCTAATTCCTTCCTGTGCGCATCCGCTGCTTCTAAACTGCTCGCAAGCGTTGACACCTGTAACTCCAAATCCAGAATGCGTGACTTGTCCAGCTCTTGGGAGTCCTGCATCTTCATCTCCAAGCCATTGTTTAGCATCTCGAGCTGTAAAATCCTGGCCTCTAAATCCGTTACTTGCAGCAGCTTAGAGTTGAAGTCGTGCAACAAGTCCGACATTTCCCTGTCATGCTTCTGTGCTCGAAACATCAAAGCTGAAACTTCAGATTCCAGTTGAGCTTTTCCTGTGCTTGCTTCCTCCACCAGCCTCGTTAGTCTTTCCTGCTCCTGTCCGGCAAGAGTCAGCTCAGACTTTGCACGCTCCAACTGGTTGTTTAAGCTCTGAATATCGGCATCCGAGCTTCTCAGCTGGTTTTCCAAGTCTACGTTAGCACTTTTCAAGCCCTGGATTAAAGTCTGAAGGCGGACCATAAGCTTTTCATTGCTGGAGTGCTGAACCTGATGAAACTCTTCAGTTGCTGCCAGCTTCTTCTCGAGCTCGTCTACTAAAGCCTTGAGCCTCTCCACTTCCTGACGGTCATCGTTATTTTGCTTGTCGAACTCTTTAGTTGCCTTGTTCAGCTTGAATATCAGCTCCATATTTTCGTCCGTCAACTCCTTCAACTCTTTAGCCATTTCTTCGGTACTCTGGCTCACCTCGTCGTCAGTGGCCAGCTCCCGCTTAATCTCCGACCGACTTTTCCTCAAGTCCTCAAGCTTAGCTTGCAGGCCTTTGATCGTGTTTTCTTTAGCTACAAGCTTCTCAGACCACTGACTTTCCCGATTCTCTTCTCGAGTCTTGGCAGCATGTACAGAAGCTTCAAGGTTGTGATTGAGTGAAGAAAGCTCTTCCATTTCTTTTCGCTGCTCCTCTAGAGACTCCTCCATGTCTTGTATCGCCAGTACGAGCTGCATGTTGGACTCCTGAGCTTTTCTCAATTGCATGCTCGCGTTCAGGCTTGCTTCCTTCTCGTAGGACAGCTCCATCTTCAAATCGCTTATGGACCTTGCTAATTCTTCGGCCTCCTTGCGCAGTCTCTGCTCATTAGCTTCGTGCTCCTGCTTTGCAGTTTGCAGCTCTAGTTTAAGCTTATCTGCCAGTAACTGCTTTGGTCCGCCACCATTCTCCTGCTTCAGCTTCTGGACTTCCATACTCAGATTTCGGGCACGTCTTTGCCATGTTACGGCTTCCATGCGCAGCTCCTGAATCGATTTATCTGGAGCTGGTGCCTCGGCTTCAATCGGCGATTTACTTCGAAAAGATGACGACCTCACGCTCATAATGCTCCTGGGAGTGTCACTGTCCATGTTGCTAAGCGACTCAATATTTCTCATGCCCGAGCCACTACCTGTTCTACCAAGCTGGGGCTCCAAAGAGATTGTTGGAAATGACCCCTGACTGAACCTGCGCCTTCTTCGCTCATAGCCTCCTACAGAGCTAGCTGGAGAAGGAGGGTCGCCAAAAAACTCTTTGACGCTACCGTTGAATTCTCTAGGTGTAAATGGTTCAAGATCGGTGTCACGCAGCGACGACCCATTATCCTGTGCAAAAAGAGAGAGGTTTCACATCCTTTAAGTGTGTTCGAGAAATAACTCACTCTTGGTGAAGAAACCGACTTCTGAACAGGACCACTAAGCGCTTGGCTAGTGGATGACGCCACAGAAATATTGTCAACATCGACTTCAGAATCAGAGGATTGCTCATCTTGAACACTAAGCTCTCGCGATTTCCTGCAAAGATAAAAACGAAAGACTCTTATGACTAACCTCGCTAAAATTTGTATTATCACCTCAAGGACGTTAAAGAGTTGATTTTTACCTGCAACATAAAGAACCAAGCTAGTGTCAAATCAGAAACAAAACAGTATAAATCGAGCATACGTGAAGGAGCGTATTTCCTCGACAATTTTGGAGGGGCACGGCTAGTGAATTTGATGGGCCATTTGCGAAATCAGCCAAGTTAATGGTAACATCTCCGAGAATTTTTGTTCGCTGTGATGAAGAACATATCCATATCAACACAATAAAGAAAGAGCTCATAATCCTTACCACACCAACAACGATTTTGTAGAGCTTAGAGTCATACTTCCCAGACTGTGCGTCTTGTATAAGTTTCGTGGTCTCCACGAGAGGATCGGGCCAGCGGCAGCATCCATACTCGACGGCAGCCTTGGTGGTTTTATTGCTGCGTTTTCCAGTGTCCTGTGGTATAAGAGACACTTTAAGCTTCTCCCATCCAGCCGGTGGAACCTGTTACACAAGGAAGGACCGAGGATGTAAAGCGAATTATAGCGAGAGAGATCATACCCGTGTAACGTGAAATTGGAACTTGAACACCACTTTCTCTTTGATCTTCCCTCCAGGATTTTTCTTGAACTTTAACATTGTTTAGACCATTCAGCATCCTTCGAGAAAAGAAACTTCCCCAGAAGCGCTTATAATCTGTGCTGGTTGAAAACAAGCGAGAGGGAAGTCCGCTAGACACAGCCTCATTCAAGAAGGAGGAGAGAAAAGAAAAATACTTGGAACAGCGCTCCTGTGAAGACGACAAGCGGGAGGCGCGCATCGCGTTAGTCGAAACGCGGCGCCATCCCTGTGCTGTCGGCACCCGCACTCTCGTCGCCCCATGACAAAGGGGGCGATGGATCTCGAGTCGATGCCGCCACGACAAAGAGAGCGATGCCGCCAACGCTCCACCCCTAGAACCCTAACACTCACGCGCTTGGCGGCCAATTTCAAATTTAAAATTCGACTAGCTCTTTTGAGTCTCACAAAAATGAGCTTCCTTCTATATCTCCTTCGTTTTTTCTTGTGTGCCGAGAAGATTTTGAGTAGAACCTTGGCGTGATCTATGTACATCCCTGTGCTACTATCAGGAAAACAAAAAACTTTCTCATGGTCAGCTCACATAGATTTGAAACGAAACTTGTTACCCGTGATTGCGAGCTTGGACGAAATCTCAGTCGAACAGCCTGGGAGCTAGATACGCTGGGCCGTAGAGATCGTCCACTGTCTCACTGTTGGCCTCGGCAGCAGTCCTCTTCAAGTTCTTGAGCCCCCTTCCGAGTCGAGCCACCGAGATCGCCGATGGAACCGCTTCCACAGCACCCCCGATCTGGTCGTCCGCGTAGAACAGTCCCACCGCGGTTACAACGCTTCCTCCAAACACCACCCATGGCCGCCTCAGCGAAGACATCCCCGTGCGCTGGCGCATGAGACCGTAGAAGGACCAGTGCACTGCCCCGATGCTCTTTCTCTTTGCGAGCCCGACGAAAGCTCGGACGATCGAAGTGCGCGCTGGCGAGAATGGCGCCCATGGAAGCTTAGCAAGAACGGGAGCCTTGCTCGAGAGAAACTTCGTAGCCCCGGCAACCACAGCAGCCCCAGCTCCCAGCGCCACTAAGTTACCCCCAGCTTCGTCCAATTCCGTGCTGGTTGTATCATCCCCAGCCGAGAACACGAAGGAGTCGGACATGGCTGCGGCTTCGGGTGGCACCAAGACGTTCCAGTATTTCCGAACTCCCAAAACCTGCGATCCATCCAAGACCGCCACCACGACTTTGGACCGCTTGGCCTGCCTCTGTAGAGCTTGCGTGAGAAGCACCTCGCATTTTTCCTGGTCTGGAAGCCCGGTGTAGGACGAAGCAAAAGGTGGCGGAGCGTTCATGGCTATTCGTCTCGAGATATCGTGTTGTAACAGCCGGAAGTACTCGAGCGTCACCCTGAATCCAAGAACCGAGTCGAGCAACTCTCTGCTTACTTCCTTCCCTGCGGCGGTGTCGGCGATGATCCTCTCGGCCGCAGCGACGGCATTGGATCCGTGAGTGCGAGGCCAGATGCTATCGTTGAGCTGGTCGAGCATGAGAAAGATCGGGAAGAACGAAGCAGCGAATTCCGGGCGGCTGGTCGATGGCAGATGGCGCGAGAATGCGAGACTCCAGTTGTCCGGACTTTGGTGCTGTGCTTCCGGAGCATCCGCGAGAAAGACCTGAAGAACGCCGAAGTTGGATCCGGACTGGAACGCTGCGTGCTTCGCCGCGAGAACGTAGCCATGATACGTCGTTCCAAAGATGATCCTTTGGAAGTCGAAAACCGCCAAGCTTTCGCTGCTGTAACCCCTGGTAGAGAAATCCGTGAAGGCGTCGAGAAAAGAATCCGGCACAACGACGCCGCGATCTAAATCGCTGGCGATCCGCTCCTCCTCAAGAAATTCCAGCATCCTGTGCGATTGCACGGCCGCGAGCACGGCATGCGGCCTCGCAGCCGCGACAAGCTGCTTCACATCCCTCACCGATCTTTCCGAGAGTACCTGCGCCGTGAGGAGGTAGACAATGCACGAGGGATCATCTGGCACGCGCAATGCGGCGACGAAGCGCTTGGAATCCGCCGGAATGTCGAGCTTGTCGACGAGCTGCTCGCTCCTGGCGCCGAAGATGCTGCCGAGAATCCACGAAATCCAAGCGAACATGACAATCAGAGGAGAGAAATCGAGAGAGGATTTCAATCGGGCGCCATCCCAAAAACCCTATCCAGCGCGAATGGCGATAGCAGCATTGTCTTCCCTCCCATTGCCTAGGGTTTGTCCCAAGGCCGATATTCCAAGAATTCCGCGCGCCCGGCGAGGAGTGATCCTCGGCTGTAGCACGGCGGCGCCTTCGGAGGTCGCCAAGGCGGGAGCTCGATCGCCAGGTATGATATCTTTTCGTTGGGCATTCGATCGAATGGATCGAATCGACCTTCGCTTTGTCTTCGCAGTGGGCTGGAAAACCTTCTCCAAGAATGCGTCGGGGGAATGGAGTGGCGCCGCTGTGGATTTCGATCGCGAGGGGAAGCCTTTGCAGCTTCCATCGGCGCTAGTCCCGCAAGAGTATGTGGAATGGGAGGTGGAAGTTTGCGACTGGGAGACTTACTGTGCCACTCTCGCGGATGGAGACCCTCCAAGGTTCTACAACAAGACGCTTCGCTTGTATCCCACAGTCGGGTGTGGAGCAACGACGGTGTCCATCTACAGCACCCAAGAGCAAGCCTTGGACGAGGCGAAGGCCGAGAAGCAAAAGTTTCTAGCGTTCCATCCCAGCGGTTCATACGTAGCGGTCTGGGACAACGAGAATGAGGTGGTGGTGGAGCACTGCCTAGTAAACGAAGACATAGAGGGCCTGAGGATGAGAGTTCTTCACAAGTTTGGAGAGCTTGGGATGCCTGTGGAAGGGATCACTGTCTACAAGGAGCAGTGGGAGGAGTCCTTCCAATCTGGAAAAACTGTGGAGAGTTGCCTGACCCGGCATGCTGCTTTCGCTGGGGGCCCGCGACTCAAGCCATCGGATTTACGTGGGACTTGGCAAACTATCAGGCGTAGCTTCTCGCCGGTAAGTCAGCACTGCTTGTGTTTTATATGCTTTTACTCTCTCGCTTTCCAGGTTGAAGGATGTGGCTGCGTCAACAAAATGGTGTTAGAGGCTTCTAATCCGGTGGAGAGGACAAACGCGAAGGGCTGTATACTACTTCCAGAAGGGACATGGTCCTCCATCCGGAAAGTTGAGAACGAGCTTGTTATCGAGGCAGGCTTGCTAACACGTCCTGGGAATCTGGTTCTTTCTAGGTGTAAAGTGACAAGCTCTGGTGAAATACAGGTTTGTTATTCTTTCTTTCTTTCAAGCCCGTGACGTAAACTTTTGCAGAAGTTTGAGCTGGAAACGCAATATCGCGACACCCGGCTTAGAGAAACCTACAGGACGTCCTATTTAAATGACGAGGACGTCTTCTGATTGGAACCATCGCCGAACGAGCAACATCTCAGTGGAAAATGTGTTTGCAACAGTTACGTACTGTGGTGAGTCTTGAATGGTCTTTTACGGAAAAAATGTAAATATAATACTCTGCCGTTTCCTCTGTTTCTCATCAGGCTCCAGCGTAGAGCTTACTCCAAATTTCAGGACGGATATGCACAACCCTGATAGCCTGTAGCAAGCCAGAGTGCAAGCAAGTGTAAGAAAACGAGTAAGTTTTCCTATGCGTCACTTTCGCGAGCAGACAAACACCTGTGGAATCCAGCCGCAGCAGCAGCCAGCGAGCAGTCCAGGCAGCCAGGCAAATAAATAAGAAGAAAGAATGAAGAGGACGCAAACGACGTACCGCAAGCAAACATCATCCACCGGTGAAGAAGCGACACTTACTTGGATTGGTATTGGTCACTATGGCGGTGCCGCCGAAGACGCAGTCGCTCGCTTGCCGTCCATTCAGCTGGTAGTAATTGTTGAACGCGTAAGACGAGTGAGCCAGCACTGTGTTCGGGACGTAGCAGGCTTTTCCGGGCTGTATGGCCGAGCAGTCGGCCTTGCCCGGGCCGCAAGCCCAGTCCAGCGCGGCTTGCAGCTGCGGTACGCCGGTGTCGGCCTTGGCGACGCACCAGGAGCCCGAGCTTGGCGACGGCGTCGCGGGGGTGGTCTGGACACCGATGCTGTACGACACCGACATGTCCGCGCGGTAGATGCCGTAGTGGTGCTCGGACTCTGGGCCGGTCTTGGTGTTCTCGTCGAACAGCGCGAAAATGTAGGCCTCGAGGGGGACCTTGGGCCGCAGCGGCGTGCCGGACATTGACCGTACGTGCCGCACGACGCCGCCGTTGTATGCCGCGGCGTTGGCGGGTGACGCGCCGGTCTCGGACTCCGGGCCCGACGGCCAGCCCGTCTCGGTCACCACGACGCGGACGTTGGGGAAGCCGATGGCGTCCATTGCGGCGTACACAGTATCTACCTGCGCATCCAGGAGATTCGTGTAGAGGAGGCCTGTCCGGTTGTCGCGAACGCCGGCGCCGCGGCGGAGCTTGAAGGTCGCGTAGTCGAGCGGTGAGCCGCGGGGGTCCGCGCGGTACGCGAAGTAAGGGTAGGGGTTTACCATGAGTGGCGCGCCGGTGGCGTTGAGAAACTGGAGGAGTGGGCGGAGGTATGGGAGGAGATCCTTGCGGAAGGTGCCGCGGCTGGGCGGAAACGAGGGGTTGAGCACGTTAAGAGCGTGCGGCGTGCTGAGCTGTATACCGTGGAGGTCGTAGCGCTGCAGCGCGGACTGGAGGTTGTACAGCGCGGGCACCAGCTGGCTGGGGACGCGCTTACCGCTGGCGGCGACGTTGATGAGCACCTCATTGCCGACGCAAATGGAGGCGACGCGCGTGCCGCTGCGGACGAAGGGCAGTACGTTCGAGCGGATCCAGCGGTACGCGTTGAGCGCGCGGCGGCCCGTGCGGTAGATGAGGTCGTCCGGGAATGTGATGGTTACTTCGATGCTCGTGTTGGCGAGCGCGCGGAGGACGCTGGGGTCGGCGTCGAAGATCTTTACCTTGCGGATGGTGGTGGAGTGGGCGATGAGGGACACGGCTTGATCGACCGAGGGGAGATTGCTGCCCAGCCTTCCATAGTTGATTCCCAGGTACTTGTCCGGATGGGCTTCTCCTCCGGCAGCTCCTGCAAATGGATCCAACAGTGAATGGAGTGAATGGAGAGAGAAGTGCTGGAGCGAGAGAGAAGTCCTAAGCAAATTTCTAGACGATTTTCTCTGCAATCTCTTCCTCGATCGAGTCCGAGGCAGTTCTCTAGATGATCTATGGATTAAATCGCTGCGTACCTGAGTAGTGGACGAAGCAAGCAGCTGTGACAATAGCGAGGATCAAGCCGGGGAGAGATGTCGGGGCCGCCATTGACCGTTGGAGCGATAAATCCGAGAAAAAGCTTTGGAGTTGTGGTTTATATTGCTGTCCGAGACGTGTTTCTCCTACTAACTTAAAACGAGGGAGCTTTCACGCGCTGCGAATCCGAGAAGAACAAAAGGGTATCATTATGTGGCTGCTGGGATTCGAGCCCAGGTCTCCACGGCCACAACGTGGAATTCTCACCACTAAACTACAGCCACCTTTCGATGATGAAGGTCTTCGAATATGTCAAGTACAAGAAGCTGTGGAATGGACTTCCAGCGCTTCCTCGTAGTTATGTTGAGATAAACCAACGATCAAATTCCTTTTCCACTACGATGGATATGATGTAGAACTCTTGTGATTCCTTGCAAAGAACTTGAAGATCACGGTACTCATGAAGAACATCATTGTATCCATAGGTATCACGAAATAAAAAGGAAAAGACTAGAATTTATCCTGGTGCTAGAGTGGGAAGCGAGAGAGTGGAGAGAGAGCGACTTCTAACAAGGCCCACTTAGTTTTTGGTTGATTCCAAAGGTCCTGTCATCTTCGACTTTGGATTCATAAGGACAGGAAAATCCGTATACTTAGGATTGACAGAATGAACAAATTTGACAAATTGCTAGCAAATGTTGAAAATCTTGCTTGCGCTTACACCTCGCTCTCCTACGTTTGGTCAGTTGATCGGTGAGATGTCGAAGGAAAGGATAGGCGGTTGGGAGATGAACTATCACATTAGAGATGGCAAACTTAATCTAAGCGTTTGGAGCAAAGCGCTTTGGAAAATTTCCATCCCAAGAAGATCCAAATAACAAACATCCAAAACCTGGAATAGTGGTCATGCGTTAATGCGCCATTTTGATGTCAGCAGCATAAGAACCCTAAAGTCTAAAGGAATGTTCGTGCGCGCGCCAAAATTCTTTTGGATTCTTTTTAAAAACGTAAACAAGCAATATCATGTTAGCTTGGAATCAAAGCCTGGGAAAGCTGCCAAAGCGCCAAAGAACTCACACACCACTGCAAAAAGCATTGGGCACCATGTACTCTAAACAACATAGAACCAGAAAAAAGAATAAAAATCATAGAAAACGAACCACAATAGCCGATCAAATCTCCGCAAGAGATCCACCCATGTAGGGGGGAGTGGAATGGAATGAAGGTCATAAGCTCGAGCTAACGCGCTGTCCATCCAAACGTGCATAGCTTTGAAATTTTTTCTATAATCCAACGATGCAGCGCAAGGTGTCCAAGCACAAACAGCGCTCAATCAAAAGATTTCTCTCTCTCTCTCTCTCTCTCCAAGCATATCCCATCTGGTTCCCACCCATATAGGAGAGCGCGTACGGCCCACACTACGGTATTGGCCATGGGGCCCAATCGCGGGAGACCATGATGGATGTAGCTCCGCCTTTGTCCTCCATGGCCGGGCTTGACGGGGAGACCGCAAGCATGCTGGCTTGTGAGAGTGGCGAGGAAGAGAGGGGCAAGGCGAGGAGGCGGAGGAAGAGGGGCATAGCTTGTAGGTTTCGTGTCTCTCGCGGGCTACTAGATCACAGTCCCTCGCTTTTATCGATTGCGTCGTCGCCTTGCTTGCGCTCCAGCATCTTGGGCGATCCAAATCCAGGGTTTCCGGGCGCATTGAGCATTGATCCAATTGAGTCCACCGATCGATCGATCGCCTCGCCGGGTTTGTCTACCTAAACACTCGTGTCCTGGTAGGTGCTGGGACGATTTCTCTCTTTGCTTCTTTCTTCCCCTCCCTCTCAATGTTCTCAATTTTCTTCCTCGCCAGCTCATGGTTTTTCGATCGTGGTGTTTCTTCCAGACCGGATCTTTGATTCTCCGTTTGGTTTGTCATCTTCCTTTTGTTCTTGCTGGAGTTCGTGGTACCTCACAAGTATGACTAGGATTTTTTGCTTCTCCCTCTCATGGTTTTTCGATCGTGGAGTTTCTTCCGGACCGGATCTTTGATTCTCTGTTTGGTTTGTCCCCTTCCGTTTGTTCTTGCTGGAGTTCGTTTCCGGATGGAATTCGCTGTTGTCACAAGGAATCCATCCCGAGCATGACCAGGATTTTATGCTTTCCAATTCTCGACAAGTATGTGGTGGAGAATTCGTTTTCTCGATCTCCTGTTCTTTCTCCTGCTGCTGCTGGCAACTTCGACCCGGGACGAAGGTAACAAAAACTTGTGCATTTTAATCAGCAAGTTGGAAGTCTTTCGCAGGAGCTTTAGTCGGTGCTATCCCAACTTGTAATAAGAAAAGCGAGCACGCCAAGAGCGAAGGATTCAAAGCTTTAATTTGGCACCATATCCAGCAGCGTGTTGGTGGAATCAAGGCCTTATTAAATTCGCATCCCCGGGTCATGATCACTGTAAGTTCTCCAAGTTCTTCCATCGAGGGACCAGCAACATCACCACCACTAAAGCAAACACCATCATCGTCACCACCACCACTACTAGATTCTTCTCCACCATCGCCATCGATTCTTCCTCCAGCACCCAACCTTGTACCACCACCTCCAAGTCCACAGCAAACTCTACCACCACCTCCAAGCCAAAGTCTATTATCACCTCCTCCACAATCCTTGGTTACTCCACCTGTGATTTCCTCGATTCCTGTGAATCTTCCACCATTGCCAGGCGTTTCAGTTCCAGCGGTTCTCCAGACACCACCTCTGTTTTCCAATTCTAATTCAGTTCCATCGCTTCCGATCTCGATACCGCCGGCGCTGGGTTCTTCGTCTCCTCTATTGCCGCTACCACCTTTGATCGCTCCTCCAACTTTTATGGTGTCACCACCACTTCCTGCTAATGCATCACCGCCGCCTCCATCGTCCGCTCCTCCTCCTCCTATTGCATCACCGCCGCTTCCATCGGCTCCTCCTCCTACTTTTCTCGTATTACCACCGATCTTATCAGCTCCACCCCCAGCATCTACAGTTCCATCTCCGATCTTGTCAGCTCCACCTCCAACAATTTTGCCTTCTCCTCCGCCCCCATTGCCATCAGCTCCTCCTCTTCTTCCTCCTCCACTATCAACGCCACCTCCATCGTTTGTTCCACCACCTCCGAGTGCTTCAATTCGTCCATCATTGCCGCCACTATCTTCTGCTGCTCCAGAAGTCCCTCACAACATTTCGTCACCTCCAGCATCGCCACTTTCATCACCACTTCCATCACCACCATCTCCGAGTACTGTCCCTTCTGCTGCACCACCTTTTCTAACGTCACAACCGCCAGTTTCTTCACCTTCTCTCGAAGACAATGCTCCACCCTCTGTAACGCTCGGTCCTCCGCCTACGACTATATCCTCGCCGCCACCATCGCTGTCTCCTCCACCTTTGGTTGCTTCACCATCTCAAGCACCATCCTCTCGTCGCTCACCTCCACCTCCACCTTTCAGAAGCTCGCCACCTACATCGCCACCATCTCCGCGTTCGCTCCAGCCGCCTTCCTTGCCTCCAGAGGTGGTGTCTCCGCCACCCAAACTCTCGCCAAGTCCGATTCAAAACTCTTCCGCTACACTACCTTTATCACCTCGTAGTGCTCCACCGAGAAGCCCCACAAGAAAAGCAACGGCCCCGGCTTCTCTTCCATCACTCGCTGTTTCTCCAGTGGCCAGCAACACTCCGGCTCCAGTTCCATCTCGTCCCACTATTAAAGCTCCATCGCCTGTTACTAAAGCTCCATCGCCTGTTACCAAAGCTCCATCTCCTGTCACTAAAGCTCCATCTCCTGTCACTAAAGCTCCATCGCCTGTTCAAAACCGTCCACAGCCTCCTGCACCTCGCAAGGTTCCTGTAGTTTCTCCAGCATCAGCTCCACAAACACCTATGCCACGACCAGGACCTCCTGCTCGTCTGCCAGGTATCGTGCTCCATTTTGATTCTATGAATGCGTATCAGTGAACAAAACTTACAGGTATTGTAGCTCCTCCAACGAAAACTCAGTTAGCTCAGCCTCCAGCAATGGTCTTTCCGTCACCTCCCAACGCAGGTATATTTTTCTTTCTTTTGCGTGTGTGTGTTTCACGTTCTTTTTATGCAGGCTGCGACAAAGTTTGCTCGGACCCGTCCGTGACAACTCTGCCTGGAACAAAATGCGGGTGCGTCATTCCTATGAGAGTGGGACTTGCGCTCGAAATTCCCATCTCAAGTTTCCTGTCGCTTGTCTCGGAGCTAGCTATGGAGATTGCGTTTGGAATTTCCATGCAGCAGATGCAGGTCCAAATAGCGGCTGCCAACTCTTTCGGCGAGGATTTTTCCCTTACGGAGACCAAAGTTAATCTCGTACCTCTCGGGAACGCGTTCAGAAACCAGACAGCCTATCACATCTCTCAGATGTTTTGGGGGCATCGCGTGCCTATCAGCGAAGTATACTTTGTCAATTACACAGTGTTGTACGTGATATATCCAGGTAAATCCTTTCTTGGCAGCTCTAAAAGTTCTTAAGAATGTTTTTTATTGGCAGGATTACCACTTGCTTCGCAAAATGTTAACAGAATTCCACCGAGTGATGGAAAGTTCCCAGATCAACCACTTGGAGTTGATATCTTCGCAAGAAGAAATCGCAACCTTCATCCGGCATTCATTGCGATTATCACGTTGAGCTGCGTGTTCCTACTAATACTTTGCTTGGGTGTTGGTTGGCTCATCACCGTCCGGCATCGCGGGCGGTACAAAGGTCAGTCGGAGCTCACAGAAGCCGCACTAGAGTCTTGTGCAACCAAACGATCAAGTAAGTATCTCGCAGTGGCATGTTTAGTCCGAAAAACTCAAACTCTCTCGTGCAGCAACAGCGACTCTTTTATCGAACAGTTCTCGCGATTCTACGTCGGTGTCCTCGAGCATTGTACCATATGTGTCCGGCTCCGTGCGGACTTTCACCTTAGCCGAGATGACTGCCGCGACTAATAACTTCAACCCGTCTAATGTGATCGGCCAAGGTGGTTTTGGAAGAGTTTACAGTGGAGTTCTAACAGATGGGACTAAGATCGCTGTCAAAGTTCTAATTCGGGAAGACAAACAAGGAGATCGAGAGTTTTCGGCAGAGGTGGAGATGCTCAGCCGTCTCCACCACCGGAACCTCGTCAAGCTTGTGGGAATTTGCACGGACGATGACATGCGTTCCTTGGTCTATGAGCTCATTCCAAATGGAAGCGTCGACTCTCACTTGCATGGTACGCTTGTCAAAGTTTTTAGACACTAAGCAATGAGCTCTTCAGGTGATGATAAGAAGATCGCTCCTCTAAGTTGGGAAGCTCGTCTCAAGATCGCTCTTGGAGCAGCTCGAGGCCTTGCCTATCTCCACGAGGACTCGTATCCCCGAGTCATTCACCGAGACTTCAAATCTAGTAACATCCTTTTGGAGGACGACTTCACGCCTAAAGTCTCCGACTTTGGCCTCGCCAAAGCAGCCTCGGAAGAACTAACTGGACATATTTCAACGAGAGTCATGGGAACTTTCGGGTACGTTTTCTCCATCTTTTTTTTTGTCTTATCTCATGTGTTCTTTTCTCTCCAGTTATGTGGCACCCGAGTACGCCATGACCGGTCACCTTCTTGTTAAGAGCGACGTTTACAGCTACGGCGTGGTACTCCTCGAGTTGCTCTCGGGTAGAAAACCAGTTGATATGTCACGGGCACAGGGACAGGAAAACTTAGTGACTTGGGCTCGTCCGCTCCTCACAAGTCTAGAGGGATTGGATTTTCTGGCTGATCCCGACTTGAGAAGCAGCGTGGCACCGGAGAACCTGGCGAGAGTGGCAGCCATCGCATCCATGTGTGTGCGACCGGAGGTGTCGCAGAGGCCTTTCATGGGAGAAGTTGTCCAGGCTTTGAAGCTGGTTTGTAGCGACATGGACGTGGAAGAAGGCGAGACGAGTGGGGCTTCAAACGGTGTCTCCTCGCCAGAGGCCAAGGCCAAAGTTACTGCCGCTTCTACTTCTCGCCAGCGTGAGTGGGATTTCCTATCATACAGAAGCTCCTCGGACTTTGACGACCAACAACAAAAGAGCTTACGAAACCATCAGCAGCAACAAGGACAGGGTGGGAATTTCTCGGCTTCCTCGGCCTTGTTGAGGCAGGTCTCAGCGTCGTTTGGCCGGCACAGTGCTCCGGAGCCTCTCAAGTTTTTTAACAAGTCTGAGAGATTCCTTACACTGCCTCCTGGGTCCGCGAGCGAGCACGGTGTACATCACTACAGAGAATCGACAGTCTGGCCGTGAGAACTCCACCTTTTTTTCCGGCTTAAGTTCTTTCTTCTCAAATCTTCGGTTCTAACAGTTCGAGCAAAAACAGCACAGCACCAAACAGGTTCTTTCTCGCTCCTTTATAAATGTATCTTTCACAGAACTTTGGTTTCCCGAGAAGCCGAGTTACTGCCACTGCCGCGTTCTAACAGATCGGATTCAAAGTAAAGATGCAGAAGGCGACAAGTTTTACTTTGGAAGATCTGGCCGAGCGGAGACAAGCGGGTGCCTCCATATAAGTTTACTGCTCGTCACGTGAAAGAAGAAGCAGCACAGTTGCTTTCGGGAAAAAGTTTGGCGCAGCAGCGCACACTGTTCTTCTGAAAAGATATCTTCGCAGATTTGGAAGCACTGGGAGGGACGCGAGCCACGGAGTCCTGTTTCTCGGTCCGTGGAGCAGCAGGCACTCTTGTACCTGGTGAAAAGAAAGAGTTGAGATGTATTCTAGGAGAAAAAGAAAAAAAGCCTTGTTTCTCGTGAAATCTGGAAGCTTGAGAAGCGAAATGCTGGCCAGCCAAGACCCAAAGAATAAGAAAAGCTTGAAGATATCACAGTGTAAACGTAAAGAAAAGCTTCAAGATATCAGTGTGATCAATCAAAAACTTATACCTGGTCTTGCACAGAGAGAGACGTGAAGCTCTGCAGGGCGTTTGTTTATAAATGTTCGCTAGTGACAAGTGATTCCTGTTCCATGAAATGGATGGGCATCCTGGCACTATCCACCAAAAGAGGAGAGCACAAAAACAAAGCCATAAACTAAGAGCTAGTGGGAAAAAAGAAGAAGACACTCACTCTCATGTCGTAGTCCTTGCAGCTTTGAGTTGTGCTACCGCTGAGCTTGCTAATCCACAGGCTGGGATTTGGAATCCACCTTTCCCTCATCATACTGTCCAGATTTTGGGAGAATGTAGCCAATTATGAAGCTCCGGGAACTCGGAGGAGGAGGAGGAACAGCACCACCACCAAGAACAAGAAGATCAAGACGAAGACGAAGATGGTCACAATGATTTTGCTCTGGAAGCTGCTTTTGCTGCTGCTGCTGCTCGGAGGATCCCAGGTAGCCTCGTCCACCAGCGTCCTGGAGGAGATCGAGCAGCATTTGAAGCGGATAAACAGGCCACCCGTGAAGACGATCGAGGTAGAACTTTCACATACTTTCGGAGCTTTTCTTGGGTTGGTTCCTCTCAAACTTTGCTTTTGTAATGTGTAGTCTCCCGACGGGGATATCATCGACTGTATACTCATCCAGCATCAACCCGCTTTCGATCATCCCGGACTCCGAGGATCCACAGCCAAGGCATGCCTTCTCTTATCCTTCACTCTTACCGAGATGAAAACGTTTGATGGTTTATCACTCTCCAGGTAGCTCCAGAGTCGAGACCAGTGAGCCACCAACACCGGCTGCAATCCTTGGAGCAGCGAAGCTTCCAGCTATGGCAGCAGCACGGCAGATGCCCCAGCGGCACCATCCCGCAGAGAAGAACGACCACCAAAGACATCCTTCGCTTCGGCGGCTCCGCTCGAAAGTATGGCAGAAAATCTCACCGCAGCGCCCACCACCGGAAGTTCAACTCGAGCTTCATACCTCCGGGAGCAAACGGCGTATCCATGAGTCACGAGGTAACCTGGATCATCGTCTCTTCTCTTCTCTTCTCGTTAAATCTTAGTGTAGCTCTTAAATCTTCTATAGCTGCCTGCCTCCTTGCAACCTTCGTTCTCTCTAGCTTCTTCTCAGATCCATCTCTTCTTCAAACTCTTTCTCAAAGCTGGATATCTTTGTCTTGCAGCATGCCATAGCTTACGTCCAAGGCGGTGAGTACTACGGAGCACGAGCAAGCATCAACGTCTGGAACCCGGCCGTGGAAGGAAACTCCGAGTTTAGCCTCTCACAAGTGTGGATCCTCAGCGGATCCATTGGCAACAGCATCGAGGCCGGATGGCAAGTAAGATATTTGTTTTTGGTGCTGCTTAAACATGACTTCCCGGAACTCTTCGTGATGTAATTGACGCTCACAGGTGTTTCCAGGCATGTATGGCGACCAATATCCCCGGCTCTTCATCTACTGGACGGTAAGCTCTCCGAGGAACTTCCCACCTTGACAAGCTCAAACTGCCATTTTCAAACAGAGTGATTCGTACCAAGCCACTGGCTGCTACAACCTTCTCTGCTCGGGCTTCGTCCAGACCAGCACCGAGATCCTGATCGGTGGTGCCATTGCTCCCTCGTCTTCCTCGGATGGCACGCAGTACGATATCAGCATTCTCATCTGGAAGGTAACTCTTTGAAACTGTCCATCCAAGAGCTTGAGCTGTTCTTCCAAAGTTTGAGCCTTGGTGATCCTTTGCTCGCTCTAACTTTTCCTGTCCAGGATCCTCAAGAAGGTAACTGGTGGCTGGAATACGGTGACCGGATCGTTGGCTACTGGCCAGCATTCCTGTTCACGGAGCTCGCTTCGTCCGCCAGCGTCGTCGAGTGGGGCGGCGAAGTCGTCAACACTCGTCCGCAAGGCAAGCACACCTCCACGAAGATGGGAAGTGGCATGTATGCCGACGCCGGGTTTTCTCGAGCGAGCTACTTTCGAGACCTGCGAGTTGTCAACGAGCGCAACTCGCTGCAGCTCCCCAGCAACCTCCAGACTTACGCGGCGCATCCAAACTGCTATAATATCATCCAGGGGATCGACAAGATGTGGGGGAGCTTCTTCTACTATGGAGGTCCCGGAAACAGTCCAAACTGTCCCTGATTATGTTGTGAAGCAAAAGTGAGGATAGAGAAACACAAAGAAACGAAGCGTACCTTTGAGCTTATCCTCGAGGAGTTTTCTTAGCTTTCTCTCTGCGCAAAAGAGTTCCTCAGTAGCTTAATGCTTAGCAAACTCTAGCCAGAGAAAAAAAAACAACTTACCTTGAGTTGTCTCATGTTTGCTTCTCCTCCGCAAAGATGTTTGCCAAGAGCATGTAAGGCCCGACACTCCCTGGATCAACCCCAAACGCATTCTCCGCAGCCAAGGCACCAAGTTTGTCCTCCCCGTGAGTTCTACAAGACCCGGCCAAGGAAGTCCAGGCCACAACGTCCGGCAAAAACGGCATCGTTTCCAGCAAGCTCTCGGTCTCCATCAATCGTCCGGCTCTTCCCAACATGTCAAGAAAGCAGTGATAGTGATCAACCTCGGGTGCCACCCCAAAGTCCCCTTGCATCGACACAAAGTTCTCGCGAGCTCGCTCCAGGAGTCCGGAATGGCAGCACGAAGTGAGAACCGCAGTGAAACTTATCCCATCTGGTCTCACTCCACAGAGTACCATCTTCCAAAACCAGTCAAGAACAACGCTGTAGTGATCCTTGTCCACGGCAAAAGCCGACAGCATGATGTTCCACGAGAACACATCCGGCTCCGGGATCTTTCCAAAAATCTCCCTTGCTTGAGCCAGCCTCCCGTTGTTCACGTAAGCAGCAAGGATTCCATTCCACACCACCAGATTTTTGTGCTGGATCGTGTCGAAGATCTCTCTCGCCTTGTCCAAGTCCCCGGCATGAGCGTGTGCTGCGACCACCGCGTTCAAGGCCACAACACTTTGCTCGGGCATTTTGTTTAAGACGCTCTCGGACTTTTCCACCAGGCCATTGCTCGAGTAAACTCCAAGCATCGCATTCCAGGCCACCATATCTCTCACCGGCATGGAATCAAACATGGCCTTGGATCTCTCAACCTCTCCTGCTTGAGCAAGCGCAGTGATAATCGTGGTCGATGATAGAGCGTCGTGGAGAGGCATTAGATCGAAAGCTTTCTCCATATCATCTTGGAGCTGGCCAGCAGCCAACCCGGACAGCAGCGAGTTCCAAGATATCGCATCACGCTCGGGCATCTCATCGAAAGTCCTCTTTGCTTCGAGAGAGTGCCCGTTCTGCGCATATCCCTGGAGAATCGCGTTCCAGGACACCACGCCTCTCTCCTCCAGCATTTGGAACAAGCTCGCGGCCTCCTCCAGGCGTCCGTTCTGGGCCAGCGCGCTCAGCATCGCATTGCAGCACTGGGAATCCACGCTGGGGATCTTCGCGAAGATGGCGCTGGCCTCCTCCACGAGCCCTCTGGCGGCGTACGCCTGGATCATCGCCGTGCAGTGGACCACGTTGCGCGATGGAATGGAGTCGAAGAGCGCCCTCGCCTCGCGCACCATTCCCCTGCGCGCAAACGCCTGGATCGCCGCGCCCATGGTCACGGAGCTGGATTGCGGGATCTTGCCCAGCATCTCCATCGCCTGGTGGGCGCTTCCAAATTCCGCGATCGCGGCGAGAGCCACCGTCCAGGAGACCACATTCCTCCCAGGAGGCATTGCTGCAAAGAGTTCCAGCGCCTCCTCAAGATGCCCTTTTCTGGCATTTGCTGCAATGATGCAAGTCCACACAAGAGCATCCCACTGCGGCATCCGATCGAACAGCGCTTTTGCCTCCCCGGCCTGGCCAAGATCCGCGTAGCCTTTGAGGAGATTCGTCCACGAGTAAACGTCCGATCGGCCGATCCCATCGAAGAGCTGCTTAGCCTCGCAGAGATGCCCGTTGCGGGCATATGCGTGCATCATCATGTTGTGCGAGAAGGCGTCGGGGCGGGCGATGCCATCGAAGACGCGCCGCGCGTCGCCAGCGCTCCCGCACCGCCCATACATCTCCACCACCAGATTCCACAGGAAAGTAGCGGTGCTTCTGCGGCTGCCGCCATCACCGCTAGCAAGGAGATTGCCTGTGGCGTCGTGGAGGCGGTGAGCGTGCCGGAGATCCAAGCACGACCGCAGCAGCTGGGCGAGGGAGGAGACATCGATCCGTGGATGCTCCTCTCGCAGGAAATGCTTAAGCAGCATGTAAGCATTATGTGGCGCCAAATTTCAAATTTATGCGAATCTCCGTTCTAGGGCTCTTGAGGGCGGCCGACAGTGCTCGATTGGATGGGCCGATCAGCATGTTCGACGTGGATCGTGGACTACTAGGGCGGGTGCGTAATCCAGGCTAGCCAAAGGTATGCGATCTACCTGGATTTCGTCGTGGTCTGCGACGGCAGCCAAGTTTCCAGCCTCTGCGCATCGCGCTTGCACGCCGAGCTCTTGCAAGCTAGATCCGGAGGACTATGGATCATCCACCTAATTGGGCATTCGAAACTATTGTTTTTAGTATATCTTTCGTTCCTTTGTGAAAGAACACATGCACATGAGAGAAGTAGTAACAATAGTCGAGGACGTTGTTCTTGAGCCAGGCGGTGGTGGCGCGAGGCGGCGATGCTGTGGATGGCGTTGTTTGGGTGATTTAGTCTATACATGTTACATATTTTAAATCTTGTCATGCCGAAACTTTCCTGATTTCTGCCCCGTGCTTGCCAAGTTTTGTTGGAGTGTTTCCTCAGGGTTGAAAAACGCTCCAGATGGTTCCAGAGCATTTGAAAGCTCCGAAAAACACTTTGTCCAAAATCAAAAACTATTGTTTATCGTTAGCGTGCCAACACAAAATTGTTTAAAAAGTCTGATGAATTTCTATATTATGACAAAGAATATTTTTGGATTTATGAAAATTATCCCTCAACAGTGCCAACCTTGTTGGCTTGGGCGTACACATCCGGCAGCACAGCATTGGGCGACGGCATGGAATCTAAGAGTGCCCTAGCATCCCCCTGCGAGCAACACAGCAGAGACCGTCTTGGCGGAAATGCTTGAGGAGCATAAGCCAAACATACTTCTTAGCTTTGGAGCGTCAATGTGGCGCCAAATTCAAATTTATGCGAAGCTCTGTTCTAGGGCTCTTGAGCGCCGAGGAAAGAGCTCACAGTGCTCGACTGGAGGAGATATCATGCGCCCAGCTGCTCCGATCATGCGCCAAATCCAAAGATTTGCAGCTTGGCAGAGAGATCCACACCCGCATCTGCAACAGCGATCGCGGGCGCAGCCGCTACCTTGCCAATCTCCTCATCACCATGTATGCCGAGTGCGGCAGCGTCGGCGAAGCCTATCGCGTCTTCCAAGCCATCGAAACCCCCAACATCTTCTCCTGGAATTACATCCTTAATGCATTTGCCCAGAATGGGTATCTGGCAGAGGCTAGAAGAGTCTTCTCCCTCGCTACTGAGAAAGATGTTTTCACCTGGACGACCATGGTCAGCGCGTTTGCACTTTCAGGACACTTGAAAGATGCTCGCAAGTGTTTTGAGAATATGCCCGTACGAAACGCTGTGTCTTGGACAGTGCTTCTTACAGCAAATGCCCAAGGGAGGCATCCTTTTGCGGCAAAAGTAATCTTTGATGCAATGCCTCACTGGGATGCTGTCTCGTGGACTGCGATGATGGCCGCATACAATCAGGCAGGAATGGTTGAAGAATCTAAAACAGTGTTTGAGGCGATGGCAGAGCGCGACGAAATCGCTTGGATTTCTATGATTGGTGCATATGCCCAGAGCGGGGAATTGAATCAATCTAAGGAGCTGTTTGATCGAATGCCTGCACACAATGCCGTAGCGTGGAACGCAATTACGTTCTCTTACACAAACGTCGGCGATCTTGCGACAGCCATCTCGATCTTTCAGTCGATGCCGGAGAGGGATTCGATAACTTGGGCAGCTATGGTAGCGGCATTTGCCCAAGAAGGGGAAATGGACATTGCTCGGGAGTTTTGGAGACGATGCTCTCAGTGGGATTCTGTGTCGTGGAACGCAATGATCGCCGGATCTGCGCAGTCGGGGGATCTCTTCGCAGCAAGAACAATCTTTGCAAGAATGGTTGGCCGCACGCTCATTTCCTGGAATGTTTTGATCGGAGCTTGCGTGACTGCGGGACATCTGGCAGCTGCAGTGGAAGCGTTTAATCGGATGCCATCGCGAGATGCTGTGGCATGGAACGCGATCATCACCGGGCATGCCCAGGAGCGAGATCTGGCCGCGGCGAGAGAGATCTTTGATCGATCGCCCGAGCAGGACGTGGTCTCGTGGAACACGATGATCACGGGCTACGCGCAGGCGGGGCGATTGCGCGACGCAGACCAGCTCTTCCGCGCCATGCCTGCGCGCGAGGTGAGCTCCTGGAACGCAATGATTGCAGCGCTCGCCCAGCGCGGGCAGCTCGAGGAATCGATGCTGCTCTTCCACGCCATGGTCCTGGATGGATTCAAGGCCGACGACGTGAGCTTCGCGAGCGTGCTGGGGGCGTGCGGCCACTCGGGGCTGCTGGAGAAAGGGTGGAGCTACTTTGAGCTGATGATCCGGGACTGGCGAATGCGCCCGCGGATCGAGCACTACCACTGCCTGATCGGTGTTCTTGGACGAGCTGGCGAGCTGGAGAGGGCCGAATCGGTCGTCCACTCCATGCCATTCCAGCCGGACCTCCTGTCCTGGACGGCGCTCCTTGGGGCATGCTCGATCCATGGCGACGTGGATCGAGGGCTGCGAGCTGCGAGATGGGCGGCGATGGAAATGGATCATCGCGAGGACAGTCCCATTCACGTACTGCTCTCCAATCTTTTCGCTACAAACTCACTGCCCTTTATAAAAGGTCTTTCATAAAAGTATATGCAAGAGCCCTAATTTTAAGGACATGGCGAGCACGGTGATCATGCTTGGCTATGGCGACATGGATGCGAGTGAAACGGCCTGCATGGAGATGCGAGCCAACACCGAAGGACGCACCACGGATGGAAGCTTGGATGATTTGCGCTGGGGTGCGTGCTCGATCCAGGGCTGGCCAGATTACATGGAAGACAGGTATGCAATCTGCGTGGACAACAAGGATCTCATCGTGGGGGTCTACGACGGCCACAAGGGCAGCAAAGTTTCCAGTCTCTGCGCATCGCGCTTGCACGCCGAGCTCTTGCAAGCTCGAGCTGGAGGACTCCCACTATCAGATTCCTTGGTCCAAACCTTCATGGCGATAGACGAAAAAGTTGGACAAGACGAGAGTTTGAAGCACGAGGGAAGCACGGCTTTGGTGGTGGTCATTACCGACGGGAAGATGGTGGTGGCAAACGCGGGAGATTGCCGGTGTGTGCTTAGCAGGCAAGGACGAGCTCTGGAGCTATCCACGGATCATCACGGGGATGTGGGTGATGAGAGATCCCGGGTGATGAGAGCTGGGGGTTATGTGCATGGTGACCGTGTCTACCACGGGAGTTTGGAACTGGGAGTGTCCAGGGCCATTGGGGATTTTGGCTTCAAGACCAACGCTGGCTTGCGACAAGACGAGCAAGTGGTGATTGCGAAGCCTGAGGTAAGGGAGGAGGAGATTGGGGAGAATGACGAGTTCCTCGTGGTGGCGAGCGATGGCATTTGGGGTTCAAGGTCCAGTGATGAAGTGGTGAACTTTGTGGCGGACAGGCTGAGGAATGGAGTGGCGAGTTTGTCTGGTATGTGTAGGGATCTAGCTGAGAGCTGCCTGGTTTCTGATAGCAAGCATTCTTCTTCTAGAGACAACATGACTGTTGTGATTGTTCGATTCAAGTGAGTTAATACATGATCCAGAGATCGACTTTTCCTTCAAGGTCTCATCACCTGAACATCATAATCGCTGCAACTCTAATCTTGAACTGGGCTACATGATATTTTATCCAAAAAGACGCAACGCATATCATTGCGTTCTGAAGAAGAGATTATCAAGATGAGGAAGAGCTGACACCAGCGTAATGAGATGTCTAATGCCCACTCGCCTAGAAGCTTTCAACAATTTTGTAAGGCACAGTGCATATCAAATGAGTACCACTTAAAAAAAGACAAAATAATTATATAAACTTAATCACAAATTGAAGTAAAAATTTAAAACTAACTTTTAAATTTTAAGAAAGTAAGGTTCATATGATTGAATTTTAATAAAGTGCTCCTAATCAACTATGAGATTGCTTGGTCCAGAAAGATGGTGGTGCTTAGCAGGCAAGGAAGAGCTCTGGAACTACGTGGGTGATGAGAGGTCCCAGGGAATGAGAGCTGGGGGGTATGTGGTTGGTGACTGGAAGTTGAGTGTTCAGGGCCTTTCGGGATTTTGGCTTCAAGACCGAGGGAGAACGATGAGTTCCTTGGCGAGTGATGCCGGTCGAGTGATGAAGTGGTGGACTTTCTGGCGGACAAGGAGTTATCTGGTATCTGTATTCTGTAGGGATCTGCCTGAGAGCTGCGTTGTTTCTGATAGCAAGCATTCTTCTTCTAGAGACAACATGGCTGTTGTTATTGTTTGATTCAAGTGACTTTTCCTTCATGATCTCGGCTGCGATCTTTGCCGAGCAGCTCAGATCCTGTGCCAAGCTCGAGGATCTCGTCCGAGGGAAGCAGATCCACAGTTCTATCCGTCAATCCTACCTCCGCAACGACAGATTCCTTGCAAATTTGCTCATAGACATGTATGGCAAATGCGGGTGCCTGGATTCCGCTGTAAGCGTCTTCCAAGCCATTTCCAATCCAAATGTCTTCTCGTGGAATATCATAATCGCTGCCTGCTCTCACAACTCGGATCTTGAACTAGGTACATTATATTTCATGAAAATGAGCCAACGAGATGCTTTGTCCTGGACAACACTTGTTTCTGCATATGCCCATAGAGGGCAATTGCTACTAGCACAGAAAATATTTTCTGCCATGCCGATGTGGGACGCTGTGTCGTGGAACTCACTGATGTGGGGACTCGCGGAGGATGGTCAAATTGAAGAGGCGTGGAAGATGATCCATGCAATGCCAGTACCAGACATAGTATCATGGACCGTGATCATCCAAGCACTCGCTGATGCCGGCGACGTTCCAAGAGCTCGAGAAATATTCGATGCGATGATCCAGAGAAATGGAGTCACTTGGCAATTGCTCGTCAGCGGGTATGCCCAGCTCGGGCATACGAACGATGCAAAGTTCCTGTTTGGTCGAATGCCACAGCACAGCCTCGTGTCGTGGAACTCAATGCTTGCTTGTTATTCGCAATCCGGGAATCTCGGGGAGTCAAAGAAAACGTTTGATGGAATGAGAATAAAGGACGTGGCATCTTGGACTAGCATCATGACAGCATATGCCCGTTGTGGGCATCTTGCAGATGCCGAGAGAATTTTCACCGAGATGCCAAAGAAGGACGTGGTTGCATGGAACGCTCTCGCGGTGGCCTACAACGACATGGAAATGTTTGAGAGGTGCGACGAATGTTACAAGAAGATGCCGCATTGGAATTTGGTGTCTCTCAATGGGTATCTCCACATGATATGCATTGAAAATGCCAAACAAGCCAAGGAGTTCTTCGATTCTATGCCAAGGAAGAACTCAATCTCCTGGAACAACATCCTGGCAGCCAGCCTCCGCCATCACAAACTCACAGACACGAAGGCGGTGTTTGATCGATCGCCAAAACACACTCCAGTGGCCTTAAGCACGATGCTCCAAGCGCTTGTCCTGGAAGGTGATCACAGCTCCTTCGACCAAGCAGAGCTTCTCTATCGCGAAATCCCGAACAAGGAACAGGACCTCTTTGCGTCGAGCCTCATGATCGCGGGGTACGCCCAGCGTGGAGAGCTAGATAAATCCAGGAGAGTGTTCGATTCCATGGAAGCGTGGGACTTTGTGTCGTGGACGGCGATCATCCAGGCCCACGCTCACAATGCCCAGATCGATCCGGCGCTAGAGCTCCTGCGACTGATGTGCCTAGATGGCTCCAGCAGCCCAAATGAGGTGACCCTCCTCGCCATCCTCAATGGCTTCGCCCATTGCGGCTTGGCGGAGGAATGCTGCGCTTTCTTCCTCTCAATCGAGCCCGACTTTGGAATCCATCCCACACTGGACCACTACTGCTGCGTGGCTGACCTGCTCGGCCGCGCCCGGCGGTTGGACGAGGCCGAGGAGCTCGTCGCCACCATGCCCTTCCTCCCAGACGCCATCGCGTGGGCAACGCTGCTGGGAGCCTGCCGGATCCACGGGGATGCCGCCCGGGGAGCCAGGATCTATGGCCGGGTCATGGACCTGGATCCCACTCACGCGCCATCGCTGCTGCTCGCCTCGCGCATTGCGGCCGACGAGTGATCGCGAGCATACGCGCATTTCATGTTTTAGTCGAAAGTGTAATTATATTAAATAAGTGGCACTAACCAAAAAGAAGAATTTCTAACTTACTATTAGAATCCCTCACCAGAGGCAGATTATGTCCAATTCAATGAGCGGAGCCTTGTTCTTTTCAGGAATGTGTCTCCCAAGGGCTTTGAAAGCAGTGCTGAAGCTGTAGATCATACCCCGATCTTCATGCTGGATAATGTTGGAGGCACAGTGAGTGAACGGATATGCGATGGTGTAAGATCGTTTTGAGGGACCGCGAGCCTGGAGAGCAGCAATGTTGATATTGCTCGCCACCTGGTTGCAGAGCAAGGTGGAACACTGTGGGAGGTATGACTTGACAATGGTGTGTGAGAGGGGGGATTCTAGCGTTCCAGTTGATGGCCAAGGATATGCCCACCCCCAAATGTATGGTAAAATGTTTAAAATATTAGATATATATTAGATAAATATGTTAGATAATGCATTCCCTGGATGATGAGCTTGCTCCTACTTGCTTCGCTATCAACAATAGTATGTGAATTGATTTTTATTATGTCCAAAAAATTACGTTCCAAAACAAATTGGGCTTCCAAGTTGAGGTTCATTGTTATCTTTGATATTACAAGAAACCTATAAATCATCCTTCATCTACTGACTAGCACTTGAAATTACACCTTTTGAAGGATGATAAATTAAGTGTCTTAATGGTCATCAAACTCAACCATGAATCAAATTTTAGTATTTTCTTAATAAATATAACAATTATTTGTAAGTTAATCTTCTAGAGCTAAATTAACAATTCTAACAGTTTGGCAGGATTCTAAGCCGGTCACATTGCCAATTTGTCTGATTAATTGGCTGAAAATGACAGTTGCTAAGACTCTTAGAACCAAAATCCTTTTTAGGATCACCATGATGCCAAACCTTTACCTGGTATGATCAGTAATGGTGCTTCAATACCACTGATATCCACCCAAATCCTACCTTCTGTATTTCTCCCTCCTTTTATACCTTGACATACCTTGCTCACCAAGCCTAAACCATCCAAGCCAAAACTATCCACCATCCAAACATGTAGAGTCCCATATAACATCATAAATGGAACCCCAAAAGTTCATTCCCATCATTATATTCCAAGCGCTTGTTTTCAGATACCTGGAGTAGCAAACAATGAAACTTTCGTTGTCAAGCCTCAGTTACTTGCATTTCTCCTCACCTCATTGTAATAGAGTCTTGAATTGCATTTGTGGAACCATTGAATGCAAGATTTAATAGGTATAGCCCATATCCAAGGGGAGCACACGCTACTTTACTTCCTTTTACACTACCCTGCATAAAAAGAAGAAAAATATCAAAAATCAAAAAATCACACAACCTTGAATAATGCAAAAATGGAAACACCTCCAACAATGAGAAAGGTGCAAAGGTATTCAAGACACTACAAAATTGTCCTCATGAGCATCACTGGATTCAAAAGAGAAAAAAGGGAGCACACATAAATACCAGCCAGCTTTTCAGATTCATTACATATACTTGCAATTGTTTTTGATGATTTTGTCAAAACCTGGAAACAAAACTCTCAACTATAAACTTTAAAGAACAAGTGAGAAAAGCAAGTGAAATCTAAAAGCTCATCTAGGATAGCTGTTTTAAAGCCTAGATTCCACAAGCGAGATCAATAGAATTTATAATGTTGGCACTCCAATAGGCCCATATTGGAGCTTGGGAGGTTCTCTTAAGGATAAGCATTGAAAAAAAAGAGTAGCAGTGTGAGCTCTTCCACTGCAACAAGACATTATTGACACTAAAGCCTCCATTTTGGAAATGGAAAATATTAATTTGAGAAATGTTGACAATACTAATATGTATGATTAACTTTATCACAGGTATATTATGGCCATAATTATGTCCTTGCCCTTGTTCTTAAAAATAGGTAATAATAGCATCAATCTCTCCTTATTCTTAAATATATAGTATCAATTTTTATTAAAACAAGAGTATCTCTTATAGAAAGTGGAACTTGCAACTATGAGTGGAAAAAGTGATATTTTATAATGTTATGTCTATCGAAGAATATTATTAAAGGTGGCTAGAACAAGTGCATGCAGAAGTCCCACAAAGTTATGATAGAATCCTAGCTATAATATACTTAACTTGGTCTGCTTTGATAAATTTGGCTTTGTATGAAATAAAAAGCTTAACATCAAATTGCATAATTAATTTAAATAACTTTTTGATGAAGACAATGTAATTACTAGAAAATATTGTTACAATTATAACATATCCAAATACATGTTTGAAAATGTCCATGAGTGGCTATGCTCAAACCACCCACTCCCTTTGGAATAATGTGGGAAACTCATGTAAACACCATGTATCATACTCAAAATGGTAGGTGGCAATTATTGTAAAGTGATTGAACTAACATCTTTAGTAAAATCAAAGGAGAAAGTTATTGCAAAGGAATATGAAATTTAATTCCTTTATTAAAGTGCTCAGTTTATATATAGGAATAAGTTGTTTAAATTGAAATCAATTCGATAAATAATAATATATAATATCATTAATATCAAATATCAAATCAAAATACAAAAAAAAATCGCTTTCCTGAAAACTTAATCCACCTTACATAACTTCTCCTAGAATGTGAAGTTTAGGTCACAAAAAGCAAGGGCATATTCACTGAATACTTCAAAGCTTTCAGGGAAATCGAGCTTTGTCTGTCGCATGCTTTCAATATGCTCTTTCCGCAAGCTTCAAGACGCTCGTAGACGCTTAGATTTTCTGACGAATAGAGACGAAGAAATCCACTCCACACTCCCCAGCACTTTCAAATGCATTTTCCCTGTGGTAGGAAGTTCACCCTCGTCACTAAGCAATCGATCCGACTCGCGAGAAAAATTTACCACCATTCTTACCAAAATATTTTCCAACACAAATAAGCAAACAAAACCACAAAGACTGGCATTGATCCGAGAACAAATCCCAGACTCGCGATCTCTCCCTCTCGATCGATCCATCATCTCATAGATCAGCGCTTGCCGCCACCGCCGCCGAGCTTGGGCCCCTTGGAGACAGGCCCCCGCTGGATGGGGGCTTTCACCTTGGTGGCCTTAGACAGCACTTCGGCCTTCTTCGCCTTCTTCTCGTCCTTGGTCTTCTTGATTCTCTCCTTGATCTCCTTGAGCGCCGCCTGGCGTGCCGCTTCTCTCACCTCCGTCTTCTCGGCCCTCTTCTTCTGGATCACCTCCAGCGACGCGCCGACGATGGAGCGCGAGTAGGGCTTGGTGTTGGCCCGGCGCTTCCTCTTCACCGCCTCGGCCTGGGCGTCCTTCTTGTTGGCCTTGCGGTAGAGCTGCGTCCAGGTGAGCTTCACGGGCTTGAGCCGGTTGTGGAAGTAGCGCTTGCACTTCGAGTTCACGAAGAGGAACACCTGCGAATCAGCTCGCACGAAGCGAATGCCGCGACCCGGGTAGATCTTGGCACCGCTGAAGCGGCATACCTCCGTCTTGAGCACCATCGCCGCCCTCCTCTCTCCCCTTCGGCCGGCTGCGCAAGAACCCTAGAAGGAAACCCTAAACCTAACTTTTTTGGCCTGCTTACCCACCGGGTTCGATTCCTGTCAACACCTCTAAACCCTGAACCCCGTGCTCAGGGCTTTAGTGGATAAACCACATGGGCCATGACACGTGGCGGGCATCGAATGGCCCCGCTCAGAGATTTTTGCGGATAAGAATATTTGAGATTTTATAACCTAGGGGACGGGACAGAGGACGAGAGAGATCTTTTGTTCTTGCGGAGGAGCTGGCTATGGCGGCAGTGGCGTCGTCCTCGGCCACTCTCGGCCTCGCCGCCAACAAAGAGGTACATTTGCAGCATCCCGCATTGGGGATGTAATTCCGCTCGGGAATCACAAATGTGTGTCTGGATTTCAGGTTCTCGCCACATCCGCGAGCAATGCCGGCGCTTCTTCGTTCCTCGGCGCCAAAGTGCGCTGGAATCCGACAATTCAGGTAGAAATCTCGTGTTCTTGTCGAGAATTCACCGAATTCTGTGCGATTTCTCCAGGGTCTCCACGCTGCGAGGCAAATCAGCGCTCCTTCCACGGGCATCAGAGCTGTGGCTGCGCCGGTAGAGACAGCCCGGCCAAAGGAGGCGAAGAAGACGGCCAGGCAATCCACGGTGATAATTACGGGGGCTTCTTCCGGGCTGGGCCTCGCCACCGCCAAGGTTCTAGCCGAGACTGGCGAGTGGCACGTCGTCATGGCGTGCCGGGACTTTCTAAAGGCCGAGAAGGCCGCGCGCTCGGCCGGGATTCCAAAGGGGAACTACACTGTCATGCATCTCGACCTCGCCTCGCTCGACAGTGTCAAGCAGTTTGTGGAGAGCTTCCGGCGCTCCGGAAGGCCGCTGGATTGCCTGGTTTGCAATGCGGCGGTCTACTTCCCGACTGCCAAGGAGCCGACTTACAGCGCCGAGGGATTCGAGCTGAGCGTGGCGACGAATCACTTGGGCCACTACCTGCTGTCCCGGATGCTGCTGGAGGACATGGAGAAGTCGGATCATGCCTCTCGACGGATGATCATCGTCGGCTCCATCACAGGTAAGAAGACGAAGAATCTCGCGAAGATGGATCGAGTGACGAGAGTTTTTCTTGAGTAGGGAACACCAACACGCTGGCTGGCAACGTTCCTCCAAAAGCCAACCTTGGAGACCTCCGGGGCCTCGCGGCTGGGCTAAACGGAGTCCAGTCCTCCCCCATGATCGACGGCGAAGGCTTCGACGGTGCCAAGGCGTACAAGGACAGCAAGGTGTGTAATATGCTCACAATGCAAGAGCTCCATCGCAGATACCACGAAGACACTGGCATCGTCTTCGCGTCGCTCTATCCCGGCTGCATTGCCACGACCGGGCTGTTTCGAGAGCACATCTCGCTCTTCAGGCTCTTGTTCCCGCCGTTCCAGAAGTACATCACCAAAGGGTTCGTGTCCGAGGAGGAATCCGGCAAGAGATTAGCTCAGGTACTGCGAAAAACCATTCCTTTTTCTTTCTCGATCTTAGAGCTTTCTCTCTGCTACCAGGTTGTGAGAGATCCGTGCCTTCAGAAGTCCGGAGTCTACTGGAGCTGGAACAACACCTCTCAATCGTTCGAGAACACGCTGTCCGAGGAAGCCAGTGATCCCGAGAAGGCCAAGAAGCTGTGGGAGATCAGCGAGAAACTAGTTGGACTGAGCTAGCGAGAGATGAGACACACACGAACAGTGCAAGGAAAAATCACGCGCTAACTATCTAGAGAATATTTTGCCGAATGTTCCTGGTTTGAAATATTAGTGGTCAACTAGTCAACGAAAAAGTTTTTATCCGCCAATTATACAGATCGAAGAGATCTTACAAGGTCAACGCTCAGTCCCAATCCTCTTGGGTTTCATCCTCTTGCTCGTCAGATCCTCCCGGAGGTGACAATGCCAGAAGAACTTCGCCGAGAACTTCCAGGCCTTCGTGAAGATCCTTACCACTTTCCAGCGACAATCCTCCTCCTCCAGACGCTACTAAGTAGATCGATCCGGCTTTGATCTCGGACACGGTCCCCTTGTCCACGAGAAGCAGCAGCTCCTCGCTTGGATCATCGCTCTTCTTTCTCTGGAGCCGGAGTTCTCGAGCGTCCGGGAACAAGATGGTGATCGGGGACACCGCTGCTAGAACCGGCTTCCAGCCCGGGAGTGGCACCCAGCCCCGCCACGCCGTGCTCGACCTGTGAATTCTAAACGCTCCCTCGCCGAGAGCCCCGCCGGAAGGAGCCGCTTTGATCGAGCTCGCGTCCGGGTCCGCCACCGGGAGCATCACCAGCCCCGCGGTCTCTCCATACTCGAGCCTCACCACGCTCACCATCTTGGCCGGCTTCTCCTCCTTGCCTGCGAGTGCTTGTTTCTCCACGGGATCTTTCTCACCCAGCGAGCTCGACAGCAAACTCCTGGCGCTTTTCGAGGTGGCGAACTCGAGAGCTTTCCTCAGCGCGTCCTCTCGCTCGCCATCCTTGAGCTCCTTGCTCTGGCGGTACCACCAGAAGGCCAGGCAGTCACCCGGATCCGATGAGAAGAACTCCCTCCCAAACTCACGCTTCCTCCGCTCGAAATCCTTGAGCGCCCTCGCCACGTCCCTGGCGGCCTTGGAGTCGCCCATGGCCCTCTCGATCACGTACTCCGCCGCCACGCGCCGCTGGGGCGCGGACAAGATCCGGAGCTCGTAGAGAATGGCCGCGCCGCCGACATCGAAATCGAAGAACTCTAGCGATTTCGCGTCCATCCCAGTGGAGATGAGAGTGTCCCTCACCTGGCACGCCACCACAATCTGGTTTTGCTCCACGCCCGTGAGCCCCGTCGCCTCGTCCAGTGACGCCGGCGTGTAGCCGGAGCGCATCAGTCCGGGGATGTGCTTGCCATAGTCGTGCCACTGTCCCCGCCGCTCCCGGACGATCTCTAGCTGCTGCTCGGGTGACACCACCGATTCCAGCACGCCCGGCGGTGGGCGGAAGGGCTGATAGAAGGCGTCGCGCCCCCCTGGAGTGTTGCTGAGCAGCAATCTATCCCGCAGGCTGCTGCCACACGCGAATCGGGCGCCTCGCCTGATGCTTGGAGCTGCCGAGTGGATATTGGCGACGGGGGAGACGGGAATCCGGAAGGAGCAGCAGCCCAGGGCGTGAATCTCCATGCCCGCATTGCCCGCCATGGCGTGACGCCAAAGAACCCTAAAGCTAAAACTATTTAAAGCTTTCAAGTGTAACCCTTTTTAGGGCAAGGATGTTAGAACCAAAGTTCTCGTGGTGGGAGGATTGCGTCCCAGAGACCGCCAAGGCCAAGGAGCTCGTCAAGAAAGTTGGCCAGCTCAGCAGGACGTTCCTGTGCGCCGGCAGCGGTACGCTGCCTCTTCCCAAGGGTGGCCTTTCGATCTGGTTTCTCAAGGTATGTCCTTCTTGCTTTTGGAGTCGATTGTTCCTCTTCCTTCGCAGGCAGATGGCTCTCCGACGTTGCTGGCTTTCGATGGATCGACGAGTCCCTCCCCCGCGGCCGTGGAGGGAATCAAAGCCGCAAAGCCTCCGCTTGCCTGCGATCTGGACGTGCATCAACTCGGCAACCTCGCTGCCTCGCTCGTCCAGGACTACAGCGTCAAAGCCGAGCTCCACAAGCTCTGCCTCCGGGAGACCAAGGACAAGTTTGAGCTTGTCCGCGGTGGCGAAGCCAACTCCTCCATGGGAACTCTAGTGCTGGTTCTTCCGCTGCCACACACCGGCGGCGACGTGCTCGTCCACCCGGCATCTGGAAAATCTGGCGAGCTCAAGTTCCCCGTGACATCAAGTGGAGCATCAGAGCTTACCTGGGTGGCGTGCCTCCGGCCGCACAGTGTCGACGTGGGCGAGATCGAGTCCGGGCAGCAGCTCGCGCTCTGGTACAACCTCTGCGCGACGGGGAAACGCAAGCGTGATGATCCCAAGAGGCTGCTTGGTGATCCAAAGTCTTCGCCTCTCTACTGGGTCCTCCGGGAGATTTACGAGGACGACGAGTTTTGCCCCGTCGCTGGCTGCATCCTGGGAATCCCTGGGACCGGAGATAAGCAGTGGGACGATATGATCGTGGAGATGGCGAAGGCGGCAGGCATGGGTGCGAAGAAGGTGGTGGTGTTTAGCCGGTCTGCTGGTGACACTAGCATTAGTCTTTGCAGCGAGACTGGTGTGGGATTGAAGAGTGCTAAAGCGGTGGTGTGGTGCCGGGGCGTGGGTTCGTTTCATTGGGAGAGCGATATGGGAGCGATGTATGGCGATCAGTATGATTCTGTCAAGGCTGACGCGGTGATGGTGGTGGTGCCTTGCCTGGACAGGAGGCGGGCAAACCCGGGTGATGACGATGGTCCGCTTGTGGACTATCAGATCATCTTGGAGGCATCTGATGATGGAGAAGACGAAGAGTGCCCTTTTTTCTTTTGGGACGAAGAGAAAGAGGAGGAGTGACGAAGAGGAAGTGAATTGCAACGGAAGAAGTTTAAAGGAGAGGGAGACAAACCTTTGAAATCTTTGCAGCAAAATATCAAATGAGCTTTTATTTCCACCTTGCAAATCCTCAACAGTACCCAGCTCTATACTGATAATTCTCTGCGTTTCTTCGTATTAGAACAAAACGGGTAGAGACAACTGAAGAGAACAAGAGCTCGATTTTCTTTCTCGTTCTCGTTCGTTCCTGTAGAGTCGACTTTTAGTGTCTTTTCATGTTGATCGGTGAAGCTTCTTATCATCGCTGTCAGCAGCACAAACATTTCTCATCGATGCGGCTGTGACACAAGAAAAAAGAGCTGGAGAGAACTAAAGAAAACGCGAACCTGATAACATGAAGCTCTGTCGAACCGTTGTTTTCTTGTGATCACAGTGATCACGTTGCTTTCCAATGTGTTTTTGGACCGTTGTTTTCATGTAGTTTGCACAGTCGTTGCCCTTCACTCCTTGGACCCTTGACCTACACTTGATTTGTTTCTAAAGTTGAACTGGTGTTCGTTCTTGTAGCATTCTCTTTTAAGACCGTTGTTCTTAAAAACCGTTGTTCCATAGCTCCATGATCCCTAAATCCAAATAAGAGCATAAATAACAACACCTAGGGCCAAAGTTGGCAATGGAGTTCTCGTGGGCGGAGGATTGTGTCCCAAAAACCGCCAAGGCTAAGCAGCTCGTCAAGAAAGTTGGCGAGCTCAGCAGGACGTTCCTGTGCTCCTCCAGCGGTACGCTGGCGCTTCCCAAGGATGGCCTCTCAATCACGTTTGTCAAGGTATCTCCTTTCTCCTTGCTTTTGTATTGTAAATCGATCATTTGCAGGCCGATGGCTCTCCCGCGTTGCTGACTTTCGATGGGTCAACAAGCCCCTCCCCCGCGGCCGTGGAGGGAATCAAAGCAGCAAAGCCTCCGCTTATCTGCGATCTGGACGTGTATCAACTGGGCAACCTCGCCGCCCCACTCGTCCATGGCTACAGCGTCAAAGCTGAGCTCCACAAGCTCAGCCTTAAAAAGGCCAAAGACAAGTTTGAGCTTGTCCGTGGTGGCGAAGCCAGCTCCTCCACTTGCGTCGGAACTCTAGTGCTGGTTCTTCCGCTGCCACACACCGGCGGCGACGTACTCGTCCGCCCGGCCTCTGGAAAATCCGGCGAGCTCAAGTTCCCCGTTAGAACAAGTGGATCATCAGAGCTTACCTGGGTGGCGTGCCTGCGGCCGCACGGTGTCGACGTCGGCGCGATTGAGTCCGGGCAGCAGCTCACGCTCTGGTACAACCTCCACCGCCTCGAACGCGCTACGGCGAAACGCAAGCGTGATGATCCCAAGAAGCTGCTGGGCGATCCAAAGTCTTCGCCCCTCTACTGGGTCCTCCGGGAGATTTATGAGGACGACAAGTTTTGTCCCGTCGCTGGCTGCATCCTGGGAATCCCAGGCACCGGGGACGAGAACTGGGACGATATGATCGTGCAGATAGCGAAGGCGGCTGGCATGGGTGCCAAGAAGGTGTTGGTGTTTAGCCGGGATGCTGGTGATCCCGAAATGTTACTGGGGGAGAAGGATGACATTCCGGACTATAGCTTAGACTGCACTCAACCGGGATTGAGCAGTGCTAAAGCGGTGGTGTGGTGCCGGGGCTTGAGTTCATTTCGTTGGGAGCACGAGACGGCAGGGAAGTATTACAATGAGTATAATTATGCCAAGGCTGCCGCAGTGATGGTGGTGGTGCCTTGCCTGGACAAGAGGCGAGCAAACCCGGGTGATGACGATGATCGGCTTCAGCACTATGGGATCATCTTGGATGACTCTGATGTATGGGAGGAAGAGTGCACCTTTGAGTATGCCTTCCACGGGGACAATGTCAAGGAGGAAGAGGACGAGGACGAGAGCGGGGAGGACGAGGGCGAAGGGAACGAGAGCAAAGAGGACGAGGATGAGAGCAGGGAGGACGAGGGCGAAGGGGACGAGAGCAAAGAGGACGAGGACGACGAGTGACGAGGGAGCCACTGGAGAAATTTATGGACTGCAATAGGCAATATTAGTAATAGACTCCCACCTTTTGAATAGAAATGACCACCACCACCAAACTAGAACTTGAATACCCAAACGAGCCTCTCCAATCCCCCGTGTTCAAGCATCCATTCAAGGCCATCAGTCTGCTGACGGCTGCTGCCAGATGAATCAGTCTCCCACAGTCTGGCCATGCCGTGCTTAGCAAGCCGCAAGCATGCCTTACCTCCGAGCAGCATGCTCCTATCAGCAGTGGATAAGAAAAAACCAAGAAAAAAAGAACATCGAAACTTGTCAGCGATCTTTGGTTGATCCATGGGATTCACAGCTTGCTGTCATCGTTATAAGTGCATTCATGGACAGTCACTAAAGCTTAAACTGTCCCAAAGACCCAAGGCCAAGGAGCTCGTCAAGAAAGTTGGCGAGCTCAGCAGGACGTTCCTGTGCGCCTCGACTGGTACGCTGCCCATGGCCTCTCAATCTCGTCCAATCAACTCCTGATACGAGCTGATCGTGCTAAAGCCACAAAAGAAATGAGAGAGCAAGAGCGAGATTGAGCGTTACTTTCCTCAAGGTATCTCCTTTAGTCAAAATGCTTTTCCTCGATTGATGCTTCCCTCACAGGCCGCTTGCTGATCTTCGAGCCCTTCCGAAGGAATCAAAGCCGCAAAACCCCCGCTGTCCTGCAATCTGGACGTGTATCAACTGGGCAACCTCGTCGCCCCGCTCGTCCAGGGCTACAGCGTCAAAGCCGAGCTCCACATAAAAAGGCCAAAGATAAGTTTGGCTTGGCAGCAAAATGACGAGTGCCAAAGCAGTGTGGGGCATTGGTTCGTTTCGGTGGGAGCACGAGACAAGCGGGAAGTATTACGAGTTTAACTACCCAAGGAATGCCTGAGCAAGAGGCGGGCAGACCCGGGTGATGAAGCTTGAGAATTATGAGATCATCTTGGAAGCGCACCTTTGAGTATGCCTTTCAGGGGGACGAAGTGAGCAGTCGTTTGATTCATAGACTCCCACCTGAAACCACCACCACGGTGATCATACTGCCCAGTCTATAGAAGAAACGAAGAAGGTGAGATAACTTAACGAGTACCTGTGTAAATGCTCGAAAGCGTCACGTAAGTTGGAGGCTCCTCCGGGACGAGGCCGATACATGTCCGTGCCGCCCGTGTTGCTCGCTCCACATCGCCGTGGACCCTGCAAGCATCCAGCAGCGACGTCAAAACCATGGGATTCGACGGCTGCTTCAAGTGCCCCGCAAACTTCTCGGCCTCCTCCAAGCGTCCGGTGCGTCCTACCAGATCAATCAGGCTGCCATAGTGCTCGCTCGTCGGCAGCAGGCCGTGCTCTCTGGTCATGGAAGTGAAGCACTCGAGCGCTTCCTCCAGCAGGCCGGCGTGCCGGCAGGCCGAGAGGACAATCACGTAAGTGATTGCGTCCGGCTTTACGTCCTCCTGTTGCATCCTCCGAAACGCGAGGATCGTTCCCCTGGCCTTGCCGTGCTGAGCATAAGCCGCAAGCATCGAGTTCCATGCCGCTGTGTCTCTCTCGGCCATCAGCTCAAAAGCAGCCTGTGCTTCCATGAGGCTGCCACTCTTCCCATACATGCTCACGAGCGCCGTTCCCAGAGAGAGCTCTATCGCCAGGCCCCTCTCTCTCACGCAGCCATGGACAGCCTTGCCATCTTTCAGCGAAGGCAAGCTTGCGCATGCGTTAAGAACCGTCGCAAACGTGAGCCTGTCAGGAACCACGGCTTCCAGGAGCATCCGGTGGTATACGTGCAGTGCTTCCCTGTCTTTCCCTTGCTGGAAGCAGGCCGTGATCATCGACGTCCACGATATCAAGTTTCGCAGCTCCATTTTCTCGAACAGGAGACGGGTGTCGCCGAGGCTAGCGCACTTCCCATACATGTCGAGAAGAGAGTTGGCCACGCAGACGTCGTCCTCCAGCCCAGCCTCGGCAGCGTGAGCGTGGACTACCTTCCCAGCTTCGAGAGCTTCTTCGCTGGCGAACGAGTTCAGCAGGGACATGAAAGTTATCCCGTCCGGCTTGACACCTTCCAGTTGAATCCGCTGGTAGAGCCGGAAAGCTTGCGAGGAGCACTTGGCGTCGGCATAAACTCCAAACATGGTGTTCCAGGAGACGAGATTTCGCGAGCTCATGTCGTAGAAAACACGCTCCGAGTCTTCCAGAGCCCCGCATTTGCCATACATGTTGATCAGCGCAGTCCGGACCACGAGATCCGGGTCGCAGCGAACGTACTCGTGAATCATCCGGCCCGTCCGAAGAGCTGCTGGACCGGAGCACGCATTGAGCAAGCTCACAAACGTAGCTTTCGTCGGCCTTTTCCCTTCCAGCAGCATCTTGTAGAAGAGCTTGAGCGTGTCTCCATAGCTACCGAGCTCCGCGGACGCTGCGATGATCGCGTTGTAAGACACCACGTCCTTGTCCAGGATCATCCGGAAAGCCTTCCTCGCCTCGGCCAGGCAGCCACACTTGCTGTACAAGTTGACGAGAGCTGTCCCGACTAGAACGTTGGAGATCAATCCGCCAGCGGCAGCCTTCTCGTGGATGATCCTCCCTTGTTCTAGATCACCCGAGTCGGCACAGGCATTGAGCACCGCCACGAAAGTCACCTCGTTCGGAGCCACCAGCTTCAGCTCCATCTTCTGGAAGTTCTCCAGAGCTTGATCGTAGAACCCATGGTTGGCGTAGGCAGTGATCAATGCTGTCCAGCTTATCACCGTCTTCTCGCGGACTCCATCGAAGATCTCTCGCGCGGCATCCACGTCTCCGCATTTGCCAAACATGTTGACGAGCGCGGTCCCGACGGTGGAGTCCTTGCAGTGCTCGGTCTCTCCAACGTTTCTGGAAAGGAGATAGGCCTCTCGAGCAAAAGGCCCGCGAGCGCAAACATCGATGGCCGTGAAGAAGGTGACCCTGTTTGGAGCAATCCCCGCGAGCAGCATCCTCTGGTAGATCTCAAACGCCTTCCAGAGCTCACCGTTCTGCGAGAAGGCCGTGATCATCGACGTCCACGACACCACGGTCGTGGATCGCATCGCCTGGAACACAGCATAGGCGCGCGCGGGGCTGCCGCATTTGCCATACATTTTGATGAGATTGTTGTGGACGAAGACGTTGTTGTCGTCGATCCCGGCCCTGGCGAGGTTCTCGTGGACTTGGATCCCCAGAGCCAGGGATCTCTCGCAGGAACACACCTGGAGGAGGTGGAAGTAGAGCTCTGGATCCGGCCGCGCCTGCGCATTGATGCTCCCCAGAGCGTCCCTCACCTGGCCGAGATTTTGGATCGTGCTCTGGTACCCCAGGCATTCCTTCAAGATCGCCTTCTTCTTGCCCTCCTCGGTGCCGATAGCTGACGATCGCACAAATTGGATACATTTCTTGCCGCTGCTCCTGCGGATCATGAGATCGCTGGATCATCCATCGCGCCTCTCGGAAGAACCCTAATTTCTGCTCATAAGAAGAGAAATAAGCTTTCTTGTTGGATGCGCGGCTCCGGCGTGGCGGGTTTAGGGTTTTAGATGTCTTCCTCGATCGCGCTGCTCGGTCCCTGTGGATTGGTCGCCAGGAGTAGTAACAGCGCAGTGCCTCGCGCCTTGCAAATCGATCGCGGAGGCCAGAGATTGAGAATGCCGCCAGCGATCGCTGCTGCGCGGCTAGATATTTCGGAGACCAGCGCCATAGGGACAAATTTTCCTGAGGTATCGATGTTTTGTTCTTCCTCTTTTTCCATGCTAGAGATCGTTTCTCTTTGATTGACAGGCTCTTTCAAGCTTCGTAAGCCCGTCTGAGGGCCTGGAACTCACGGAACTCACTGCGATCTCGCCTCTAGACGGTCGATACGCGAACAAAGTGAAGTTTCTAAGAACCATTTTCAGCGAGTATGCGCTCATTCGCTATCGAGTCATTGTAGAGGTGCGTTGGCTTGCTTGATAGCTCTAGAACAAATTTCCTTGACAGTCTCGTCCTTGTTCTTTCAGGTCCAGTGGCTGCTAAAGCTGTCACAAATTCCAGAGCTGAAAGAAGTTCCACCTTTTACGGACAACGCAAGGTCGTTTCTACTGGGTGTTCTTGCCGATTTCAACGTGAACGATGGAGCTGCTGTGAAGAATTTCGAGAGAGTGACAAACCACGACGTCAAGGCTATTGAGTATTTTCTCAAAGGTAGAATCAAGGATCATCCAGAACTTTCAAAAGTAAGTGACTCTTCCTTTTTACAATGAATGTTCTATCGTCTTGGTGTTTCCAGGTGCTCGAGTTCATACACTTTGGCTGCACTTCCGAAGACATAAACAATTTAGCATACGCTTTGATGCTCCTCAATGGTCGAGAGCATTTACTGAAGAAAATGGACGAGGTCATATCAGCTATACGATCCCTTGCCCATAAGCACGCGAATGTGCCAATGCTTTCACGGACTCATGGACAGGCAAGCGTTTTTTACGTTTTCTAAACTTTATCTTTTCATTAGTCGCCTTACTTGTTTTATAATATAGCCAGCGTCACCAAGCACCATTGGGAAAGAAATGGCTAACTTCTGCTACAGAATGGAGCTCCAGCGCAACCAAGTTGCTTCCGTGAGCATCAAAGGAAAAATGGCTGGAGCAGTCGGAAACTACAACGCGCATTGTTTCACGTATCCGGAAATCAAGTGGGAAGCTGTCGCTGAGTCTTTTGTCACGTCCTTGGGCGTGGATTTCAACCCATACACGACTCAGGTACTACAACCTTTTTCTTCTTGTGTTACTAAAAGTCGATCAACAGATTGAGCCCCATGACTGTATAGCCGAGCTCTTCGATGCTGTGAGGCGATTCGGAAACATCCTCGAGGACTTCGACCGCGATATGTGGGCTTATATCTCGTTGGGGTACTTCAAGCAGGCAAGCTACTGGCTTTTTCGATGTTTGTTTGGATGATTTTTTTTCCATCAGTAGAAAGTTGTCCCAGGCGAGGTTGGATCGTCCACGATGCCGCATAAAGTTAATCCCATCGACTTCGAGAACAGCGAAGGCAACCTTGGATTGGCAAAGTCTTGGTTGTCTCACTTGGGCTCCAAGCTTCAAGTCTCCAGAATGCAGGTAAGCTGCCTTTTGTAGCAGAACAACTCGTCATGGATCGTGATCTTTTGCAGCGGGATCTCACTGACTCAACTGTTCTTCGTCAAATCGGCCAAGTTCTCGCGCTGTGCGTGCTTTCGTACGACAGCACGTTGAGAGGAATAAACAAGCTCGAGGTCCGTGCTTGAAGTTTCGAGTCCATAACAAATCCCGTGCGTGATGATTCAGGTAGACGAAGCTGCAACACGGCGAGATCTCGACGCAACGTGGGAGGTTCTCGCGGAACCCATCCAGATGGTATGTTTTCCCGTTTGAAACCCACAGCTAAAACCGATCGATCGCTGGTTTTCACAGATGATGCGACGCTACGGCATCGAGAAGCCTTACGAGAAGCTCAAGGAGTTCACGCGCGGGGCTGCGGTGACCAAAGAGAGCATGCGCGAGTTTATAGAGACTCTAGATCTTCCAGAGGCGGCCAAGGAGCGCTTGAGGCTCTTGACGCCACACACGTACTGCGGCAAAGCCGCGGAGCTTGCTTCTAATGTTTGACACAATCAAATCTTTCACAGTATACTGTTAATGTCCATCAGGTTTGAATTTATTGTTGATACAAGATGATATGTTCTCATTGTTTATAAACATGGTTTGATATGTTCGCAAATTTGTTGATTGGTTCTCAAAGGTAGTTTTTACGTTACAAGGCTTCCTCTTGGGTCAGAGTTATGTTACCAAAATATTCTCGGGAGGTCAACTATGGTCAAGAGAGTTGACCTCCGGATTATAGTCAACGACGTGGAAGATGAAGTCGGGGTACGCGAGCGTGAGCTCCTGGAGCGCCTTTAGCGTGAGCGGCCGCAAGATTGTCTCGTGCTTGGCCACCATCGCCCTCCACTCATCGCGATCGATCCTCCCATCCAGATTGGTATCCGCCTCGGCGAACGTAGCATCCACGATGGGATCCAAGTTCGTCCCCGACGGTAGCGCGCCCGCGAGGAACCCCTCGATGTCGGACTTGACCAGGAAGCCCTTGCGCTGGAGGTCGTAGAAATCGAACATGAACTTGATCTTGGCGTCGCGCGGCGTGCTGGGATGGAAGACCGCGAGGCCGCGCGCAAACTCGTCGAAATTCAGCCGCCCATCTCGGTCCACATCGAACATGTCGAAGAAGCGCGCGCTCATCCGGCAGCCCTGCGCCCAGGTGGCCTTGCTCAGCTTGAAGCTGCGATCCTCGCCCTGGCACAGACTAGCGAAGAGCTCGTGGAGGGCTTCGAGCTCGCAGACCTGGAAGGGCGTGGCGCTGGCGATCTTGGCCAGGCAGTCGATGTTGTAGAGCTTGTCTTTCGGGGGAGCGCCGCCGCCAAAGCAAGAGAAAACCCACTTGGAAATCAGACTGGCCATCCAATGGAAGAGCCCTAATCTGCTCTCGTTCTATATATATATGGGATTCGCTAAAAAGGTACATCCCATCCAAGAATATGCCAGGTTAGGGTTCGTGGAACGATTATAAGTTATATCATCCATCTAAAGCACTGCTGGTCTAGTGGTAGAATAGTTCCCTGCCACGGAACAGACCCGGGTTCGATTCCCGGGCAGTGCAACCACTCAATTTGTTCTCCAAGTAAACTGAGCTTCATATAGTTTTTATACTTAAATTCCTGCTTCGAATCTGCTTAGTGCAGCGTATGTAAGCTCGAAAGCATTTTCTCCTGTTCAACAAAGTTTATACTTGTGAAATCTTTGAATTTCTACATAAGATTTATGCAATGCCAAGACAGGCCCGAATTCCTGCTTCGAATGTGCTTAGTGCAGCGTATGTAAGCTCGAAAGCATTTGCTACTTCAGTCCTGTTCAACAAAGAAGAGTAAACTTAAACTATACGTACTCTAAAAAATGTTCAAGGAACACACACTTACGATGAAGTAGGGGCTGTCACAGACTCATCTAAATACGTGAATGACCTGTCTTAAAGAAAACTTAGAATTCTAGGATGAGATCTTTCAAGTACATGGCCATACCTTATCAGATTTTCCAATGCCAAGTAGGCCTTGATCTTCACCGGATCAGAGTTATCGAGCAAAGACGCCGCATTCTTGACAAGGAGTCTAAATGTACACACCTGATCATCAAAATGGAAGTTTTGTACTTGAGACAGAGAGAGTAATAAGAAAAGTTTGTAAGAGACCTCTACACCTGTGCGGCTCTGAAGATCCAAGATTGATCCAGCTTCCACGGGGATGCAATCACGAGCAGCAATCCTGATGAGATTTCCCGCTTCTAATGGATTTGACGAACCTGCAAATTTACATGAAAATCTTGGGGCACGAAGAAAGAGCTTGACTTAACTGAAAAGAAGAAACGCACTCTCCAAACGTTCTCGTGAGCGAGCAATTGGTACCAGCAAAAAATCTGCTGTTCGTTTCTTCTGTTGTTTGAGCCATTCCTTTGGTCCTGCTGGAACAACAATTTAGAGATCTCTATCATGCAAAAACTCTAAAGAAGAAGTATATAAGCTTCTCACAAGTCCCCAAAGAAAATGCTTGGGCCGTGTCGATCTTCTGCGAGCAAGCTGTGATGGCCACTGCCAGTGAAACTAAGCTCAATCTCCGGCTAGCAGTGCTGCATTTCGTAGAGACACTCTTGTCTGCCTGCTGGAGTGAAAACTGGTGAATTTCACTGTGGCGTGCCTCCATAGTTGCCGCCGCCATAGCCATTCTCGCCAAATCCTGTTATCCTTCCACGTTGCAAGAGAATATATTAAAGTAATTGACCCTAAATTTTGTTAATTACAGGTAGGAGGCTTATAATCTTGAGCTTAGAATTGTTTGCTCTAGTTGAGTCCGCCAGCTGCAGCATAACATCGCAAGGGCGTTCTTTCAAGATCCAATTCGATCAACATGGAGATATCTGTGAAGCTCGCTTTTGTCATGTTAGCATCTCCAATGTGTCTCTTGAATTGCGCAGCTCCATCGAACGCGGACGCCACAATCGACTGTCAGATGGGCGACTTCCAGGACGTGGACACCTTCCCTATCGGTATCTGCAAATGCAGCGAAGGATGGACCAACATTCTGGGCTCGCCCTATCTCCCCTGTGGAATACCAAAGTGTAAGAATCATGTACCCATGCTTTGTGCCTCGAGCTTTATCTCTTCTTTGCTCAATCCAGGCGACTTTAAAATGAGCTGCGATGGAGTGGATCCCGGCTCCCCACCACCAACCCCAAATATCTCATTCAGTCGTAAGCGCTCGTGCCAGATGTGCTTTGATGATCGTTTCTCTGGCAGCTTGTTTGATCCCTTCCATCTGTGGCGAGGGTGGAGACTGCATATCACAAGGACTGAGCTTCGCCTACACTTGTGTGTGTCGCAACGGATACAGAAACCTGCTGAATCTTACGTCGGGAGTGTGCTTTCGAGACTGTAAGTTGTCAAGTTCCAAAGGTTGACGGACATATTAAGGGCCATGCAGGCCAACTTGGCGAAGGATGCCAGAATTTGGGGCTTGGAATCAACCCAAGGATTGAACCGCTGTCGCCACCAGCACCAATCCCACTCCAAAATAGTGAAGATCAAAGTGGTCTAAGCAAAGCATTCTAACATTTGCTTATTCCTGCAGAGGGTACCTGGCTGCTTCCATCGCCATTCCTTCTAGTGCTTGTGCTCCTTGTCACCATGATCACAACTCTTCTGGGCATATAGCTGTTTGACAATATTTTAAAGTAGCGTAACTTTGCTGTTGCATGTAAAGGAACCGACTTGAACTCCATGATCCTGGCTTGTTTCATCGCTCGAGCTCATCCATTTTATTACACAGCACCATGTTTTGTCAAATCAAGTCGAAGCCTTTCAGCACCTCAGTCCTGCAAAGAAAACGATCAAAAGAAATCTTCGAAGAACACACACTTACGCGCTGTAACCGACTTAAACGACCTGTCTCAAAGAAAACAAAAGAAATCTAGCATGAGATCATTGAAATACATTGCCATACCTTTTCAGAATTTCTAATGCACCGGATTAGAGTTACGCTGCATTCTTGACCAGGAGTCTAAAAGTTCACACTTGATCATCAAAACGTTTGTGCTCGAGGAGAAAAAGTATATAATAAACTTCTGCACGTGTGTGGCTCTGAAGATCCGGGAGGGATTAGAAATTGGTACCTCATTTGTTAGATTAAGGTGTGATCTAGAGAAACTAAGCTCTCTGGCTAGCAGCGCTACATTTCGTAGCTGCTGAAATGAAAACCGCGTTGTTAATAGCAAACTTGAGGTAAATTAAACATAATCTATAATTAATTAATATTTTAAATTTTAGAGGTTAAAATTTGTTTGCTCTTGTTGAGTCCGCCAGCTGCAACATAACATCCGCAAGGGCGTTCCAAAGCGATGAACATGGAAATATTTGTGAAGCTCTCTTTTTTCGCGCTCGCGTCAATGTTGGCATCTCCAAGTCCGTGAATGCTTTTTGTTTAAATCTTGACTCCTCTAAATCTCTTGAATACACAGCTCCATCGATCGCGGATGCTATAATAGACTGTCAGCAGGGTAGCTTTCAGGACGGTGTCTGCAAATGCAGCGAAGGATGGACCAACTTTCTGGGCTCGCCCTATCTCCCCTGTGGAATACCAAAGTGTAAGATTCACGTAGTCCGGTAGCTTTAATTCCACACCTCAATCCAGGCGACTTTAGGATGAGCTGCGATGGAGTGGATCCCAGTACCCCAGCACCACCCCCAAATTTCTCAATCAGTCGTAAGCGCTCGCGATTCCTCTCCCAGATTTGCTCTGATCGTTTCTGGCAGCTTGTTTGATCCCTTTCATCTGTGGCGAGGGCGGGGACTGCATATCACAAAAGTTGAGCTTGGCGTACACTTGCGTGTGTCGCAAGGGATACAGAAACCTGCTGAACTCTACGTCGGGAATGTGCTTTAGGGACTGTAAGTTCTGAAGTTTCAAAGGTGTTGATGGACATATCAATGCGCGACGAATCGCCATGCAGGCCAAGTTGGCATGGGATGCCAGGATTTGGGGCTTGGAATTAACCCAATGATTGAACCTCCGCCGCCACCACCACCAGTCCTATTTCAAAATAGTGAAGAATCTCAAAGTGTTCTAAAAGCAAAGTATCCTAACATTTGGTTTTCCCTGCAGAGGGTACCTGGCTGCTTCCATCGCCACAGCTTCTAGTGCTCGTCCTCGTTGTTGCCATGACCACGACTCTGGGCAAATAGATGTTTGACAATATTGTAATCCGCAAAGAAGTAGCAAAGTTGTACGTTGCATGCAAAGTAATCGACTCGAGGCCCGATCACTAGAGCTCATACATTTGATCACACAGCACCACTTTTGTCAAGTCAAGCTTAAATCTCTGGAAGCCCTTGCATCTGTGGTCCAAAAGCTTGACTTCCCCGGTCCACAAAGTCATCCAAAGTTGGAGCTCTCTCGCAATCTTGTGATCACAGTCCAAAAGGAGAAAATTACTCAAGCTTTACAGACCTCTGAAAGAGCCACGGTGATGGCAGCACTTCTTCTTCTTCTTTTTCTTCGAGCTTTGCCACAGTGATGGCAGCACTTCTTCTTCTTTTTGTTCTTGTTCTTCTTCTTGCGACCATCGCATCCCCGGCTCGCTACGAATGGGATCGCGATTGGAAGGTGTTCAACAATGCGAGCTTGAGGACGATACCAGCCGGAATGGAATATGGAAGCTTTCGCCAAGTGGTGGACGGTCGCGGCCATCCAATCTCGAGCGACAACAGCACGCTGTGCCTCGCCTTCCTCGACTTGAACAGCACCGGCGGCTTCTACCTCTCGGTGATGCTGGGAGTCCACACGAACCAGGCGGTTCCCATCTGGACCGCGAACCGGAACTCCCCAGTCTCGAGCAACGCCGCCATCCAGATCCTCAGCGGCGAGATGCGGCTCGTCGACTCGCAGAACCAGCGCGTCTGGAGTCCCTTCAAGCTCGGGATCCGCGGCATGGAGCTCACCGAAGACGGCAACTTACGGCTCTTCGACGATCAAGACGCGACGCTGTGGCAAACTTTCGACGATCCGGTCGACGTTCTCATGCCCGGCCAGAGGTTCCGGACTGGCAGCAAGCTGGTGGCGAGCTCCGACAAGTCGAGCATGGCCGAGGGCCTGTTCGTGACGAGCGTCGAGGTAAGCGGCCTAGCTCTCTACTTGAGGTCCTCGGACGCGATGGTGGCGCCGCAAGCTTATAGCATCTCGACCATGCAGAGCACCGTCGTGAAGAGGCAGCTTAGCACGGTTCTCCACGAGTGTCCCTCGTACCACGCCGTGTTCTCGTTCTCCGGTGCCGACTATGTGCTCGAGTACGAGGCCAAGGATAACTCCACGGCCGCGTCTGGCTTGCTGCCGTGCTCGGCTCCTCGGAGAGTCCACTTCCCGTTCATCGACACCGGCTTGGAGTTGAGGTTCCTCCGCCTCGAGCACACCGGCGACCTTGTATCGTATGGCTTCGACTCGAGCTCGGGCTCGTGGAAGGCGGACTTTAGCTGGGAGTCCCTGGTGCAAGATAAAGTTTGTCCGACTCCTGTCGCCTGCGGTCGATATGGTATGTGCCAGTCTCGAGGCTCGGCTCCTTGCAAGTGCCTCTCGAGAGCCACTGGGCGGTATGAAGTAGACTCGAGCACCGCTTGTCCATCGCCACCACCTTTCGTCACTGCTGAGACGTGTTCCGCTAGATCAGAGGCCCCTTGCAGGATTTCCTGGGAGTCTCGTATTTCCCGAACAAGCTGCTCCAGCCGGATATGGTGTCGCCCCTGGACAAGTGCCTGAATATGTGCAAGGCAAACTGCTCCTGTGCCGCGGTCTTCTATAGCAAGAACTCGAGCGGCTGCTACTTCGTCAAGGACATCCTAGGAAGCTTGGACTTTGATGCCACTGCTGCGGTGCAGTACTCCGCCCATCTCAAGCTCGAGAGTGGCAGCATTGTCCTGAAGCCTGGAAACAATAATGCTCAACGAGCTGCAAAGCTTGCCGGAATTGCTGTTGCCTCTGCGATTGCAGTGTTAGTCGCCTTGGGTGCCTGTGTCCTTGGACTCCGGAAGCGAAGGAGGCTCAAGGAGGAGGAGATGACGGTGAAGTCCCTGCTCAATTCCATGCCTGGTGCCACGCCTCACAGGTTCTCGTACAAAACTCTCAAGGTGGCGACGAGAGGTTTCACGCAGAAGCTGGGATCCGGCGGCTTTGGCTCCGTGTATGCTGGAGTGCTCGCGAACGGGACACGGTTGGCCGTGAAAGCTCTTGAGACGGGTGGCGGCCATGGTGGTCACAAGCAGTTTGTAGCCGAGGTAGTGTCGCTGGGGAGCATCAGTCACGTGAACATCGTCCGGCTCTGCGGCTACTGCGTGCATGGCTCGTCGAGGTTGCTGGTGTACGAGCACGTAGCAAATGGTTCCTTGGATCAGTGGCTTTTCGACAGCGGCAAAAGGAGCTTGAGCTGGGAGAGCCGCTGGAAGATTGCTCTTGGAACTGCGAGAGGGCTCGCTTATCTGCACGAAGAGTGTAGAGATCCAATCATGCATTTGGATATAAAACCGCAAAACATACTTCTGGACGAGGACTTCACGGCCAAAGTGTCCGACTTTGGGATGTCCAAGCTGCTGACGAGCAAGGACATCACACAGGTTGTGACTGGGGTGCGAGGAACTCCCGGCTACCTGGCCCCCGAGTGGCTGCTTAACTCCATAGCCACCAAGAAGTGTGACGTTTACAGCTGTGGAATGGTGCTGCTCGAGTTGATCAGTGGAAGAAGGAACATCCAGCCAGGCAAGCTTGCATCGTCCGGGAATGCTCTCGACTGGTTCTTCCCAATGTGGGCTGTGAACGAGTTCAAGGCAGGAAGGCTTTTAGATATAGTGGACGAGAAGGTACGTTGTGTGGAGATTTTACCTCTTGTAGAGACGCTGTTTAAGGTTGCGCTGTGGTGCATCCAAGATAGTCCATCGGCCAGGCCTTCCATCAGCAGAGTTTTGCAAATGCTTGACGGGACTTGCGATGTTCCAGAGCCTCCGCTGGATTTTCAGTTTTATTACCAGCAACAGCGTGCAGCTTCAGGCAACGTCTCAGTTATCGCTCCAGTTTCACTGTCAATCGAAGCTAGATAAGTTGGAACAAATAAGAAAACAACTGCCTGCTTTGCTTACCGCAGTAAGGGCTCGAAGGCTACTAGAAAAATGTACTAGATCTTTGCTCTGGGCCTGAGAACTTAGAAACTCCACCTGTATGATCAGATCAAAAGGTTATTAACGACTCAGATAAATTCAACAGTACCTGCTTTTGCTTCCATCGCTACACCTCATAGTCGTGATCACCAACGTAATTGCTTGACAGTAAACCTTTACTTAGAACTCGTTTCTCATCCCCTTGTACGTTGCATGCACCCAGTAAACTCATCCATGCTGCTTCAGTCGGCATGAAAGGCATCGACTCAAGAAGTTCTTCAGCGACTTCTATCCGGCCTGCTCGAGCAAATCCGTCAATCACACAGTGATAGTGCCGTAACATCGGCCGCACTCCATAGTCCACAATCATGGACTGGAACTGCTTGCAAGTTTGTTCGATCAATCCCCGGTGACTGCATGCCAGAAGAACACCTACGAACGTCACCTCGTCTGCCTCGACGCCTTCGGAGCTCATGAGAGACAGAAGCTCCAGAGCTTTATCAAACTGTCCGTTCTGAGCAAAGCCTCCGATGATGGCAGTCCACGAAGTCAAATCTTGCTGTGGCATGTTGACAAATATGCTCAGGGCCGTTTCGGTGTCACCCTTCAGCGCATATACTCCGATAGCACAAGTGAAAGTCACCAGGTTCCACATTGGCATTAGATGGAAGAGCGTAAGAAACTCTTTCGAGCAGCCGAGCTGAGTAAATGCCGTGACCATGGCGTTCCAGGAGAGCTGGTCTCGCCCCGGCATGCTCTGGAACATAGACACTGCTTCATCCAGGCGACCAGCGTGAGTGTAGCCTGAAACCATGATGTTCCACGAAGAAACGACCCACTGTGGCATTCTATCGAACGTCGTTCTCGCAGCATCCACTTGATCGCTCTGTGAAACCGCTGAAACCATGACGTTCCACGACACCAAGCTCCGCTCCTCCAATCTCACGAACATCTCCTTGGCCTCCGCTAGATACGAGCTTCCAGCCAAGACCAGTGCCGTGAGCATTGCATCGTTGGAAACCACGTCCCACTCTGGCATCCTCGCGTGAGCGTCTCTGGCCAGTCCAACTTCACCGTTTCGAGCATAGCAGCCGAGCAGCAGCGTCCAGATGATCAAGTTCCTCTCGGGCATCTCGTCGAACAAACTCTTGGCCTTGGAGAGATGCCCGGCATGGGCATAGACGGTCATAGCACTGTTCCAGGCCGGAAAGCTATGCTCCGGCATCAGGATTAGAATGATCTCTGCGTGCTCGCAGTTCTCCTGTTGATCGTGAGCAGCTATCAGAGCCGCCCAAGACACCGCATTCCTGGATTTCATCCTCTCAAACAATGCCTTTGCTTCTTCCAGATGCCCTGCCTGGGCATACGCTGCGAGCATCGAGCTACACGCGACCACATCCAGCTGTGGGCACCTGCGAAAGACCTCCAGGCACGATTCAAAATCCCCAGCCTGCGCGTGAGCGTTCATCACGCTCCCCCAGGAGATGAAATCCCGCCGGGGCATCGATCCAAACAGCGATCTGGCCTCCTCCACAAGCCCGTTCTGTGCATATGCCTGGACCATGATGTTCCACGAGTGGAGATTTGCATTGCGAATCCCATCAAAGACCTCGCGCGCTCTTCCGGGTAGCCCGCAGCGGCCATACGCCTCGATCAAGTGATTGCACACAAACCTGTCGCGGCAATGCTCGGATCCAAGAATGCCGGCGTGTAGCGCCTCCAAATCTTGCGCGCAGCCGCAAGATTTCAAGCCCTGGACCAGCGCTAGTGCGGGATCGTCCTGTCCGGAGAAGCGCCGGGTGATCGATCGCATCAACAAGTCATGCCCTATCGGATAGAATGCGCCAAGAATGTCGATATCCAGTCAAGCAAAGCGGACAAGCTATAGTGCTTGCCAATCCATTGTTAGATGCGACGGCCAGGATAGACGACGAATCGTCAGGCGATGGACGGCTCGTGTCGCACCATTTGGATTATGGAATGTTCCAGCGTCTGGTGTATATGACAACAGAGTCGCCTATGGCAAAAGAACGTTTTCTTTCGGGGGTTTGGGATTTTGGCTATGGCGGGCGGCCGCTCCCTCTTGACCATCCTTGTCTTCCTGGCGATCGCGGAGCTGGGCGCGAGCAAGAGGTACAACACCACGGCCGGCATTGTCGCCGGCAAGATCAACGTCCATCTCGTCCCACACACGCACGATGATGTCGGATGGCTCAAGACTGTGGATCAGTACTACATTGGATCCAACAATACCATCCAGGTGTGTTTTCTGCGTGAATCCAGCTCTTTCGCTGGATTTTCGGATCATCCGCGGCAAGAAATTGGGGGAATAACCTAGCGATTGACAGGAAGCTGGAGTCCAGTACATTCTCGATAGCATTCTCATGTACCTGACGAGTAATCCGGATCGAAAATTCGTGTATGTCGAGCAGGTACTTGCATTGATTCTTATCTCTCTGTTTCTTTCTTCGAGAATCCAACAGTATTTTTGCTCGAGTTTCAGGCGTTTTTCCAGAGATGGTGGAGAGAACAAACAGAAGAGGTGCAAAGTGTTGTAAAAGAGCTGATCCATTCCGGGAGGCTTGAGCTCATGTAAGTCGATCGATGGCTCTTTTACTTTCGTGTTTGTGAGAGGAATTTCACGGCGCTTCCAAATTGTAGAAACGGGGGATGGTGCATGCACGATGAAGCAGCGACGCATTACATAGATATGATTGAGCAGACGACCCTTGGACACAAGTATATCAAGGAGCAATTTGGAGTGACTCCTCGCATTGGATGGCAGATTGATCCTTTTGGTCACTCCGCCGTTCAAGCATATCTTCTAGGCGCCGAGGTACGAGATACAGCTTTGTCATGGCTTCTGGCCTTACGTACTCTTTTGTTTTTGTCCATTCAGCTTGGTTTTGACGCATTATTTTTCGCCCGAATTGACTATCAAGATAGACGTCAAAGATACAAGGACAAAAGCTTAGAAGTTATTTGGCAGGGCTCAAATACTTTAGGCTCGGATGCACAGGTGAGTTGCTATTTAGTAAGGCTAAAAGATTGATTAACTCTCTCTGGAGAACAGGTATTTACAAGTATTTTTCCAGTTCATTACGGTCCACCAGATGGTCATGGTTTAGCTTACGAAGAATCAGACGAGATTCCAGTTCAAGTAAGTTGGTTTTGATTTTAAAAAAATCGCGTTATTTACGATGCTATGCCAGGACGATCCTTTGCTTTTTGATTATAACGTGAACGAGAGAGTGGACGCATTTGTAGCTGCAGCTCAATCCCAGGTTGATTGCTATTGTAAGAAAAACGATCTGCTAACTGTTTCTTGCAGGCAAATATAACACGTACCAATCATATAATGTGGACCATGGGAAATGATTTTAAGTACGCATTAGCTGGCAAGTGGTTTGTGCAAATGGATAAGTTCATACACTACGTGAATCTTGTGGGTGCGTAATATTTTTTCTGCTAGACTGACGAGGGGACTGATGCAGGATGGTAGAGTCAACGCCCTATACTCAACCCCATCAATGTACCTTGACGCCAAACACGCTGCGGATGAAACCTGGCCGCTGAAGACGGACGATTTTTTCCCGTAAGCTTACAACTAGGAGTAGTATTATTCATTTGAAGTTGTTGTTACAGGTATGCTGATGATAAAAAATCTTTCTGGACTGGATATTTCACCAGTAGAGCTGCGTTCAAGGGATATGTCAGAGAAATCAGCGGATTTCTTCAGGCAAGAGCTTTGTTCGTTTTGTCTAGCTGCTGATAGGTTTACCAGGCAGCAAGACAACTTGAGTTTCTAGCTGGAAGGAAGAAAGATGTTCCTAATACTGACAGCTTGTGGGATGCATTGAGTATTTCTCAACACCATGATGGTGTTAGTGGAACTGAAAAACAGCACGTCACAAATGATTATGCGAAGCGCCTCGCCATTGGTGCAGCTGAGGTATGCTTTAAATCTTGAGGATTCTACACTTTTTTATTGACGATGACTTTGCAGTCGGACTTGGTTGTAAAGTCGGCTCTAAAGGCATTAACAAGTTCTTCTGAAGAGAATTTTGTGAAGGTAACTTTTAAGCATGATATTTTCTCCTTAGAACGCTTGTGAATTCTCCAGTGCCCGCTTCTCAACGTCAGCTTTTGCCCGTTGACAGAACACGCAAAAAAGAACTTGGTATAGACTCCAAGTTTTCATGCAGCAATGCTAACCCTTGAGTTTTGCAGGTTGTAACAGCGTACAACCCGCTGGCATGGCAAAGAGAAGATTATGTTCGGATACCTGTATGTACATTAAAAACCTTGTTGAGGTATGCTTATGCTGAAACCTTGCAGGTTAATGAAGAAGGACTAGTTGTAAAAGATGCCTCTGGTAAAGCAGTGCCCTCTCAGCTTGTACCTGTGAGTGACGCAACGAAAAGAACCCGATCCTATTATGTACGTGCTAATCTCGGGGTGGCTCCGGGGACGCCTCCTAGTTATTGGCTTTATTTCAAAGCTGCTGTACCTCCTCTTGGTGTAAGCACATACTATGTTAGCATTGGATCGGCAGACACTGGTAAATTTTGTGCTACTAATTCGACTCTATATAATCTACTCCTCTGAATGCAGCAACAGTGTCAAAGTTCGAAAACAGCAACGGATCTAGCTCTATTGAAGCTGGATTTGATACTAAATTGACATTTTCTTCAAAAACTGGTTATTTGACAAGAATATCGAATGGCAAATCTGGGGTATGTAAATAATGTCTTGTGGCGTTATCATTCATGTTGTTTTTTTTCAGGCTGAAACTCCTGTTCAACAATCTTATTACTGGTACGCTGGCTATGCTGGATCCGGACAGGTATGACACATAAATTACAATGTCTTGTCGTGATGGATTTTTCATATGTGTCAGCACTCGGGAGCGTATATTTTTCTTCCAGATGGGCAAACAGCCACACCGGTGGCAAGTGAGGTAACTTAATATCTATTGCATAATGCTGAACAAGGTTTCACGTGCCTTTCTCTTGGAAGGTGTCTTTAAAAATTGTTCGAGGGCCTCTAGTTGAAGAGGTTCACCAGGAAGTTGCTCCGTGGATCTACCAGGTGCTGTGAAGTTCTGCCTATATTCTTGGCTTATATGTTGTTGCTTGAGTTTTGCAGATTTTCAGATTGTACAAAGATGTCGGGCATGCAGAAGTAGAATTTGTGGTATAAACAGCTAGTTTCTGGACTGCAGATCTTAACTTTCCTTCCTTTGTTCAGGTTGGCCCAATTCCAGTTGACGATGGAATCGGCAAAGAAGTAATAACCAGATTCACCACTGGCATTCCCAGTGAGGGCGTGTTTTATAGTGATTCAAATGGTCGTGACTTTATAAAGCGGGTAAGAAACTGAAATATATATTTTTCTCTTGCTGATGTTTCTGCAGGTAAGGGATTTCAGATCCGACTGGAAGCTAGAAGTTACACAACCAGTTGCTGGGAACTATTACCCGGTAAGGCTGCTGCTTGCTCTGCTTTGTGGTTATAAACTTCGGTAATAAGTGTAGGTGAATCTTGGAGTTTACCTGACGGACAAGAAAACCGACTTTTCGATTTTGGTTGATCGTTCTGTTGGTGCCGGAAGCATTTCAGATGGTCAACTTGAAGTCATGCTACATAGGTGTGCCTTTCTCAAATTTCTTTTCTTACTGTATAAATTTTCTCTTTAGACGCTTGCTAGTTGATGATGGGAGAGGAGTTGGAGAGGCGCTGGACGAAGTTGTCTGTCTGCCTCAAGGAAACTCGAGCAACTGCGAAGGCTTGACTGTGAGTCTAAGTTTCTCTCTGTTCTTTGGACTAGTCGCGTTATATTATTTCTGTTTAACAGGTGCAAGGCATTTCTTATATTAACGTGAACCCGGTTGCCAAAGCTGCTCGTTGGCGCCGGTATGAAGGGCAGAAGAAGCTGTTTCCTTTACAACTTTATTTTGGAACAACGGTACGTGATGTTGTAAGTACGTGCAGTACGCAGTCTAACTTTGTATTGCAGGATGGGGAGAACAAGATAAATGGTTTCACGTCATTTGCGTCGGGATATGCATTACCAGAAAACGTTGGGCTTATAACACTTCAGGTGGATCAATCTCTGTTTGGGTGAGCTTCTAACTTTTTGTGCTTGACAGGCATTGGACAATGGAGATGCTCTGTTGCGTTTGGCCCATTTGTACGAGGTACGACAATAAGTTGGCTAGCTAAAATACTAAAAAGCCGCATGCGACAGGCTGATGAAGACGAAGATTTATCCAAGACCGCAACTGTCGACCTGAGCAAACTCTTTCCAGGCCGCAAGGTAAGCTAAACTTTCTCCACTAAGTAACAATACTAAACGCTTTCCACGTGTGTCACGCTCCAGATCAAGTCGGCGACGGAGCTCTCACTCTCCGCGAACCAAGAAAAGTCCAACATCAAGCCTCTCAAGTGGAAGATCGCAAAGGCTGGAATCACTCGAAAGTCACCGCGGGGAGCGGCACTGGACGCGAGCAAGATGGAGGTGGAGCTTGGATGCATGGAGATTCGCACCATCCAGATCCACTTCGAGTAAGTTTACTTGCTACTTACTATAGCGTTTTGGCGCTGGACAGGAACAAGAAAAATATTTGCTAATTCCATAGGGACAAGCTCGAAGAGAACGCTGCTGGCGCTGCCACTCTTCGTGTTGCTTAAGCTCACGCAAGCAAAGAGAAAATAATCCAGATTTCCTATGGCCAGAAGGACACATTTAAGTAGTTCCAATGTAAAGCGACGTGTTACATTGGCTAGGCTAGGGTTCTTTAATCGAGCGCGTGGGACGGGAGCGCAGCGACAGCTCGATTTGTTCGATCCATCCAGCGCAAGTTGAAATCGTTAGCTGTCCTGTCCTGCCCTGTTCTTGTCGCTGGAGCACGATCGAGCGATCTATTCGATCTCCGTGCTTAAAGGCGCGATGATCCAGTTCGTGAGCTCCAGATCGACGTCTACGTCGGCCGCGGCATCTACAGTGGTGAGCTCCAATTGGCAGATTCTCTTAAACAATGCCGCTGTTGCTGCTCCTTGGCGGGGAATTTACGATCACAGCAAGATTGCAAGCAAAGGGTCCACTTTTGTGAGGACGCTCGCTTGTTTGAGAGCTTGTCCCTCTCAGCCGGCTATGGAGGTAGCAAGGCTTGACTCGCATTTCCTATTTGCGTTCGCTGGTTTTGATTTCGTTTCTCCAGCGCCACATCGAGGCAGATCCAGGAATGGGGCTGCCAGCACTGGCGTGGAAGCGGAGGCTGGATACTCCTGTGATGGAGCTCAAGGAGTTTAAGCCAACTTTCAGAGAAATACTCGAGATGGTTTGTCATTGTTTTGTGGAAGTCAAGAGCTCACAGGCTTTGGTTTTGTTTGTTCGAATTTCATAGCTGCCGATGGGTGTCCGGCTGTGGAAGTTTTGCAGAAGTGAGCACGAACAAGGACGGGTAACGTTTTCTCTAGATCGATGGAAAATTCGGTTCTTAGCTTGGTTTTTTCTTTCTCTCGCAGAGAGCGCCTATCGATCCATTCTACCCTCAAGATACGCCGGCTTCTTCGTGCCAAGGTGTTCCTCTCGGTGGAATTGGGTCTGTATAATACTGCCTTCGCTTTGGAAGAGTGAGTCGAGTCTTGTTAACTCGTGTAGAGTGATTTTGGAATTAACGCCCGTGCAGGGGAGGAAGCATTGGTAGAGGTTTCCGAGGTGATTTTTCACGATGGCAACTGCTTCCAACCGTTTGCCAGACTTCTGCTGTTCTAGCTGATCAGTTCTCGGTATGAAGTGAAGCTTTCCCTTCTTGCAGCTAACGTATGCTGAAATTCTACGCAGGTTTTTATCACCCGGCACAGTAAAGATGGCACAACGCAAAAGACCTCATCAGTGTTGTTTCCTGGTGAGCCAGTTTTTGAAAGGTACATTTTCGAAACAAAGCGTGCTTTTACGCGCTGACTTATTGGTCTTTCTTTTTCTTATATAGTGAGGAGACTGAATCCGGGATTTCTTCTTGGAACTGGAATCTAACTGGGGTAAAAAGCACTTATTACGGGTTATTCCCTCGTGCCTGGACAACTTATGATGGTAGGCGAGCATCTTTTCTTTTTCGCAATGATGAGTGTTTTAACAATTCAGGAGAACCGGATCCTCAAATGAAGATTACATGCCGCCAGGTTTCGCCATTCTTACCACACAACTACAAAGAAAGTAGTTTTCCTTCTTGTGTCTTCATCTATGAGGTGGGCCAGTTAGAACTCATTATCAGCACTAGATGAGCGGTTCTTTCAGCTGGTAAATACAGGAGATGAAGACGCGACGGCTACGCTGCTATTTACGTGGGCTGTAAGTCGTTTCATGTCTTTGACTTCATGTAATTCCGACGGATATACAGAACAGCATTGCTGGAGGATCGGAAACATCTGGAGGCCATGAAAATTCTCCTTTCATGTGAGTAAGCGGTGATACGCATGTCAAAGTTTTAACTTCATGAAGCAGGGAAGAGGATGGAGTCCGTGGGGTGCTTCTTCATCACAGGTAGTAGAACAAAGGTTTCCAGGTTTCAATAAGCAAGACTTTTTATTTTTATTTCACTTTTTTCAGGAAAGAAGAGCACTCTGTGACGTTCGCTATTGCGGCAAGGGAAACGGACGATGTTTCCACATCAGTCTGTCCTTGTTTTCTAGTTGCTGGTGCCCCGGAGGGAAATTCTTATCAAACGGCGAAGGATATGTGGAGTGAGATAATAGAGGTCGGATCGCTTAGCGTTTTCGAAGAAGTCATTTCCTTGTCTTGTTTTTACAGAAAGGATGCTTTAATGCGAAGAATTCGACGATGTCCGCTTCGTTGTCGCAACCGGAAACCGTTGTGGGAGCTGCTGTTGCCGCAAGTGTTGTTGTTCCAGCACACGGAACAAAATCCATCACCTTTGGACTGGCATGGGATTCACCTAAAGCTACCTTCTTGGGTGGTAGCTCCTACTACAGGTAAGGAGATAATCTTCTTTATATTAGCTTCTCGAGCGGAATTTGCAGGAGGTACACGAAGTTTTATGGGAAGTCTGGCAACGCTGCATCGAAGCTTGTTCACGACGCCATTTTGAGTGAGCGAGGACATTTCTCCGCATTTTACCTGATTTCGCTGTTGTCTATAGATTACAAGCGCTGGGAATCTGAGATTCATGCTTGGCAAGAACCGATCCTAAACGACCACAGCCTTCCAGAATGGTGAGCATAATAACTTACTTGCTGCTAAGTTTCTGATGAGGCTGTAGGTACCGCTACACTCTATTTAACGAGCTTTACTACTTGGTGGCTGGAGGAACGATATGGACAGGTATGAACATGAAACGCATTTACACGACCTTGCTATGTGATTTAAGTTTTTCAGATAGTTGCCGTCAGGCGTGTTTAGCTCAGAAGCTTAACCCGGTAAAATCCAATGGAGTCTCGGAAGCATTGCTAGACGCTATCAACGCAAATTCGGAGGCTCAGTCATTTTGGTCCTTTGATATACCGGCGGTCGAAGATAACGTGGGACAGTTTCTCTACTTGGAAGGAGTGGAATATCATTTCTGGAACACGTACGACGTGCATTTCTACGCCTCGTATGCACTGCTGGCCTTGTTTCCACGGCTTGAACTTCAACTCCAGCGAGACTTTGCGGCTGCCACCCTTTCGCATGACCCAGAAAAGATGTTTTATCTGGCATATGGCAACACCGGCATCAGAGCTGTTTTCGGTTCGGTTCCACACGACCTCGGTACGCATGATCCGTGGAACACACTTAACAGCTACAACTTGTACGACACTAGCAAGTGGAAGGATCTGAATTGCAAGTTCGTGGTTCAGGTAAACAGAGACGCAGCTGCTACAGGGGATCTGGATTTCGCGAGAGCTGTCTGGCCAGCGGCATATGCAGCCATGGCTTTCACAGACCAGTTTGATAGAGATGGCGATGGTATGATTGAGAACGACGGTGTTCCGGACCAGACTTACGACCTCTGGACTGTCGACGGTGTGAGCTCGTATTGTGGAGGACTGTGGGTGGCAGCACTCCAGGCAGCTTCGGCATTGGCTGATCTAGTCGGGGACAAGCCTTCGTCTAGAATGTTTCACGACAAGTTCCTACGAGCAAAGGCTGTCTACGAGAAGTCACTGTGGAACGGCTCTTACTTCCACTACGACAAGAACAGCACCTCGGTCCAGTCGGATCAACTCGCAGGGCAGTGGTATTCTCTGGCTTCTGGACTTCCTGGAATCGTCCGCGAAGATCAAGCTACCAGCGCGCTTGGGACGGTTTTCGCCACAAACGTCATGCGGTACAAGGGAGGAAACGAAGGCGCTGTCAATGGAATGCTACCGAGTGGCGGTGAAGATAGGACTTCGCTCCAGTCTCGGGAAGTTTGGGTAGGCACCACTTATGCTGTGGCAGCGGCTATGATTCAGCAAGGCATGCGAGAAGAAGGATTCCGGACTGCCAAAGGAGTGTTTTTGAATGGATGGTCCGACCAGGGACACGGGTACGTATCTCTCGTTTCTCTTTCGAGTTTGCCAGCGATTAACGCAGTGTTTCGATGTTTAGATATGCTTTCCAGACTCCAGAAGCCTGGGACAACGATGGAAAGTATCGCTCACTGGCATACATGCGACCGCTTTCGATCTGGGCGATGCAATGGGCTCTCGATCCTCCAGAGCAGCTCAAGCAGCGAAGTTGTAACGTCGAAGTTGGCGATATCACAGCGCAGGAAGTGGAGGCTTGCAACAAAAGCTTTGCGAAGCTGGCTTCGCAGCTGAAGGAGCTATCGCCGCCGGAGACGAAGGCTTACTCGTCGGTGTGGATCTGGATGTTCGACTATATCCGCAGCCGCGTCTATCCCAGGGGATGATCCAATCCGAGAAAAGGTGAGAGAGGAAGATCAAAGGATTGTCTACTAAAAGTATATATTCGATCGAATGGAGAGAGATTTTTTCTTCAATGGATGTGAAGGAAGAACGGGCATGCGTGGATGAATCGTCGGATGGAGCGTTTCGCAAGGTCTATCGCCTCTACGAGAGAGGTAAGAGCGTCCATTTGCTGTAAGTGAGCAGGTTTTGTGAATTGTTTCTGGCCCACAATCGGAGAAGCTATGGATGGCCATTGTCGCATTGTTTGCCACAGCCCACAAGGATGCAGAATTGTTTGCAATGGTGAGCATATCATTATCAGATGAGCAATACATTTCTTGACGGAGTTCCTTGTCAGCATAAACGAGACATTTCTTGTTACAATCTGTAACAGTGTCTTGATAAGATGAGAATGAAAGCACGTCAGCCAACTTTTGAAGAACAGCTCCCCAGAATTGATTGACTGTGTAAGTAACTTTGAGGTTCATTTGGTTTGTGGCTAAGCGTTGCCTGTTTTACAGGATCCCACAAACTCAGCCCAGCAGATGCGGTAACCTTTTCACGAGGACTTATAGGTGTTATCACCGAATTTCAAAGGGATGCGGAAGTCTTCAAACTGGATACTAGGCCTTCCAATCGTGCACGGTTCCTCGAGTTCATTAACTTCCTTGCTTTTGAATAAGAATATCGTTATCGGAATGCACTCAGCTCAGAGTATCATCGCTTGTCAAGATGGGGATTCCTTGTCAGCATGAACAAGGCATTTCTTCGAGGATGAAAGCACGCCAGAAGAACAGGTCCCCAAACTTAATTTACTGTGTAAGTAACCTTGAAGTTTGTAGCTAAGCGTTGGATTCCACAGACTCAGAAGTGGCAACCTTTCACGGGGATTTGGGTTGCGGAAGTGAAAGATGTTTTGAATTCGGCTCCAGACGACAGGTGGCAAGAAGAGTTTGATCCAACACGGTTTGTTGACTATAAAGATTGCGCAAACGTGACAATGAAGAGGTAAGCTTCATCCACTCGTGAGAGCTATGAGGACATGGATTCATCTTCTTCTTGTGCTCCTCCAGGTTGCATTGGCATTGGCTGCAGACCCTTCGCACCTTGTGCAAGGGCTTCCTGGGCAACCAGAGGTTGGATTTAAGCAGTACGCTGGTCAAGTTGAGATAAACGCCACAGCTGGACGTGCACTGTTCTACTGGTTCTATGAAGCAGATCACCCCAATGCATCTTCCTTGCCGTTGGTACTATGGCTTAATGGAGGTGTGTTTTTTTGTTCCTTGCAAAGTGATACGCAGCATTTGTAACGTTTGTACGTTTCTGCAGGACCGGGATGTTCATCCATTGGCGCTGGAGCTCTTGGAGAGACTGGTCCGTTCCGCACGAATGACTCAGGCACTGGGCTTGTTCGCAATCCGTACTCATGGAATCAAGGTTTGTTTTTCTTTCTTCTCCTAAAACTAGGAGTTTCATCTGCTTGACCCGATTTCATGTGCAGCTGCGAATCTCATATTTTTGGAGGTCCCTTATAATACCGGTTTCTCGTATACAAACTTGTATTCTGATGGGGGATTTTACACAGACAATCAAACAGGTACTGTATCACTTGCTTGCGATTTTTACAAAACGTGGTCTTTGGGATGCAGCCATCGATTCTTTGCTGTTTCTGCTCGAATTTCTCACAAAATTCCCTGAGTATAGACAGAATGACTTCTTCATTACAGGAGAAAGCTTTGCAGGTATGCATACTTGAGTTCAGCAGTGTAAGTTAACACTTGATTGCTTGAAGGACATTTCATACCAACGCTGGCATCGCAAATCCTTTCGCATAATGAGCAAAATGGAAGCCGTATCAACCTGAAGGGGTTTGCTGTACGTTCACCCTTACACTACACTGCATTGGAAGAAGCTAATTTTCATAATTTCAGATTGGTAATCCTTCCACGGACAATGATGACTATGACGCTCCTGGTAACATTGAGTTCTTATACTCGCATTCAGTCATTTCTGAGGAGCTTTACCAAGAATATAAGACCTACTGTGGGAGGGGGAGGAACGATGACGAAGCATTAGCTAGATGTGGAAATGCTAGCTCCCAGATCTTTGCTTTGACTGGCTACATTGATCGTTACAACATCTATGCACCAACATGCAACTTACTTTCAGGACCGGATGATGAGGCTTGCCTTGATTCTGTGACACCTTACCTCAATCGCCAGGATGTTCAGGTCGCCTTGCACGTCGAGACAAGACCAGTTCGGTGGCGTTTATGCAAGTAGGCGTTTAATCCAAGACTGGATACTGAAAGCTGATTATCATATTGTTTTTGGCAGCCCGGATATTGACAGGAGCTACTTGCCACTAGATAAACAGCGTTCAATGCTTCCCGTATACCAGAGTTTGTTCAAGAGTGACTTGAGAATCTGGATTTACAGGTTTGTGAATTACATTACAAGACAACAATCTGAAGCACTTTTAACACATGTCATTCATAGTGGGGACTTGGATTCTATTGTTTCGACGCTTTCAACCAGGAGCTGGATCAAAGCACTCAATCTCACTATTGTTACTCCATGGTATGCGTGGAACTACACAAATCAGGTAAGCATCAACTAAATCTTGTTGAACGGGAGTATACTAGTTAACTCTTTTAAACTGCAGGTTGGTGGATGGACTGAAGTGTACTCAGAAATGACATTTGCGACAGTAAGAGGCTCTGGACATCAGCCTCCAGTTGACAAGCCTGGCCAGGCACTTACCTTGTTCCAACACTTTATCGAAGGCAAGACACTGCCGTCGTTTTAGCTGTAACAAGGGATTGTCAGGAAATAAAACTCAACATTTGTTTAGTACATTTGAAATTTTATCTCTTGTTGTAGCTTATGCTACTTAAACATGTACCTGTCCAGATTAAGCACAATGAGGTGCTGGCTCTTGGCGTCTGCTGGTGGACTCGCATTGGGATGGCGGGAAGCTGAGGCCTTCTAATAATGATCTTCTAGTGAATTCGCAACTACTTGTAATCTCCAGATGCTGTCCACCATGTTACGAACGACTATATCTTCATAAAATTAGTTGAATCCTGCTACGGTCGTGCAAATGTTGTAAATCAAATGTCAGGTAACTGTTCCTGGTAAGTGATTGTTTAATTACTTTAAAGTTTATATATATATATATATATATATATATATATATATATAAAATTGGCTTTGTTTATACTGATTTTCAGGCTATGATGATTGATAACTGTGTGTATGACATCTGCAATGAACAATATTTATCAATACAACAATGAAGATCTGTGACTTCAAGATCTTTGAGTGCATGCACTCAATTATTTTAGAGTGTTGATGTGTACTTGTAATTGCTCTTGCAGCCTTGCTTATTTGCTTATTGCATAGTGTTACCCTAGCGCCTTCGTTTCTCTCAATCATCAGATAGTACTCTTCGTAGTTTTGACACAGCCGGCGCCTTCATCTGGCAGCTTCCAGCCGTAAGAGCGTCCATTTGCTGTAAGCGAGTAGGTTTTCCATTGTTTGCCACAGCCCCGGGCAAGGATGCAGAATTGGTGAGAATATCGTTATCGGAATGCACTCAGCTCAGAGTAACATCGCTTGTCAAGATGTTGTCAGCATGAACAAGGCATTTCTTCGAGGATGAAAGCACGTCAGAAGAACAGGTCCCCAAACTTAATTTACTGTGTAAGTAACCTTGAAGTTTGTAGCTAAGCGTTGGATTCCACAGACTCAGAAGTGGCAACCTTGCACGAGGATTTGGGCTGCGGAAGTCTCCAAATTTGAAAGATGTTTTGAATTCGGCTCCAGACGACAGGTTGATCCAACACGGTTTGTTGACTATAAGAATTGCGCAAACGTGACAATGAAGGGGTAAGCTTCATCCACTCGTGAGAGCTATGAGGACATGGATTCATCTTCTTCTTGTGCTCCTCCAGGTTGCATTGGCATTGGCTGCAGACCCTTCGCACCTTGTGCAAGGGCTTCCTGGGCAACCAGAAGTTGGATTTAAGCAGTACGCTGGTCAAATTGAGATAAACGCCACAGCTGGACGTGCGCTGTTCTACTGGTTCTTCGAAGCAGATCACCCAAATGCGTCTTCCTTGCCGTTGGTATTATGGCTCACTGGAGGTGCTTCTTTGATCCTTGCAAAATGATACGCAGCATTTGTAATATTTGTACGTTTCTGCAGGACCGGGATGTTCATCCATTGGCGCTGGAGCTCTTGGAGAGACTGGTCCATTCAGCACAAATGACTCAGGCACTGGGCTCGTTCGCAATCCATACTCTTGGAATAAAGGTTTTTTCTTCTCCTAGATCCTAGGAGTTTCATCTGCTTGATCCGATTTCATGTGCAGCGGTGAATCTCATCTGTTTGGAGATCCCTTATAATACCGGTTTCTCATATACAAACTTGCTTTCTGATGGGGGAAATTACACAGACGATCAAACAGGTACTATACCACTTGCTTGTGGTTCTCAACTTCTCATAAAACGTGTTTGGGATGCAGCCAGCGATACTTTGCTGTTTCTGCTCGAATTTCTCACAAAGTTCCCTGAGTATAAACAGAATGACTTCTTCATTGCTGGAGAAAGCTTTGCAGGTATGCATACTTGAGGTTTGCACAGTACGTAACACTTGATTCCCTGAAGGACATTACATACCAACGTTGGCATCGCAAATCATTTCACATAATGAGCAAAATGGAAATCGTATCAACCTGAAGGGGTTTGCTGTACGTTCACTCTTACACTACACACTACATTGAAAGAAGCTAATTTTCATACATTCAGATTGGTAATCCTTCCACGGACGTCGACTATGACGGTCCTGGTAACATTGAGAACTTGTACTCGCATTCAATCATTTCTGAGGAGCTTTACCAAGAAGAGAAGACCTACTGTAGGAGGAATGATGACGAATCAATAGCGAGATGTAGAAATGTCACCTCCCAGATCCAGAACCTGATTGCCTACATTACTCCTTACAACATCTATGCACCAGCATGCAACTTACTTTCCGGACCAGATGACGAGGCTTGCCTTGATTCTGTGACACCTTATCTCAACCGCCAGGATGTTCAAGCCGCCTTGCACGTCGAGAGGAGACCAGTTCGGTGGCAGTTCTGCAAGTAAGCGTTTAGTGCAAAACTGGATATTGAAAGCTTTGATTTTGAAATTGTTTTTTGCAGCCCGGATGTTGACAGGAACTACTCGACACTAGATAGAGAGCGTTCAATGCTCCCCGTATACCAACATTTGTTCAAGAGTGGCTTGAGAATCTGGATTTACAGGTCTGTGAGTTACAATACAACAATCTGAAGTGCTTATAGCTTATAACACACGTGTAAAACACAGCGGGGATTTGGATGCTGTCGTTTCAACGCTGTCAACCAGGAGCTGGATCAAAGCACTCAATCTCACTGTTGTTACTCCATGGTATGGGTGGAACTACACAAATCAGGTAAGCGTCAACTAAATTTTGTTGAGTGCCTGGAGTATACTAGACAACTCTTTTAAACTGCAGGTTGGTGGATGGACAGAAGTGTACTCAGAAATGACATTTGCGACAGTAAGAGGTGCTGGACATCAGCCTCCATTTGACAAACCTGGCGAGTCACTTACCTTGTTCCAACACTTTATCGAAGGCAAGGCACTGCCATCGTTTTAGTTGTAACAAGTGATCGTCAAGAAATAAAACTCAACAAGTATATGTGAAATTTATCTTTTGCTCTAGCTTATATTACTTGAACATGTTATTCAGGGGTTTAAGTCGGAATATCAAATTCTTTTTCAGTTCACATTGTAAAGTTGTGAGAAGCTTCAAATTCATTTTTATTTGATGGTTTACCAAGTCGGTGGTGACCGATCACGAGCCTGGAGCTGACAGCCCTTCTCGCCCATTCGCGAGAGATCCCACTCTGGGGATAGATATCGTGCTAGACGCTGTGTTTCGAGGATCATCACATCAACTCACGAGATTCTTTAGCGGTTTCTTTGTCACGCCGCCCTTTCGATCGATGGAGGGCGGTCACATCCAGATCGCGCTCTCGGCCAGCTATGTATCAGCCGATCATGGTAGTGTTCTTGGTTGTCTTGGCGCTTTCGTCACTCCAAACTCCTTCCGCGGCACTGGATTCGATTGCGCGGCTCGGGCTTTAGTGGCGAGCGAGGATTTCTCGTGCTTCGAGGCCGCCAGCGCCGAGAGTGATGGATCCTTCTTCCTGCCTTGCTCTCCCGGCGAAGTTCCCGCCTCGTGGCCTTTCGTGGTGGCGTTCTCGTATCCTTCCATGGTGGAGCTCTTGAGCATGGCGAGCGAGGAGCTGGTGCTTGGCACCGCGGGGCACGGCGTGTGGGAGCGCTACCGCGAGGTGGCGACGAAGAAGATGGACATCGCCACCAAGGAGGAGCTCTTTGATCGGCTCAAGGAAACGTTCGCGGACTTTAGAACCGGAGAGCTCCTGTGCTCGCCGGGGTGTTTGGAGAGCTCGGCCGGATCGAGGCTGGAGATCAGTGCCTCGGTTCTGGATGGTAGCAGCGGAGGTCCGATCGTTCCTGCAAATCTTCCAGAATGCTTTGTTGGTGTTCTCAGCGGTGGAGGCAAGGAGGACGTGAACCTTGCGACGTCGACAGACTCCATGGAATTCGTGGAGGCATATGAAAGATTTGTGCTGCCTCATCTTCCACCGAAAGGATCCATCGCGTGGAAGAATCGCGACGTTGCTGCGTTTGAGAGATGGCACAACTTAGATTGGAAAAAGAGCTCTAGCTTGTAAACCAAAGCATTTGATTCCTCAAACTTAGAACACAAACAACTTCCATAACTTTCTTTCAGTTCCCAAGAAACATTGCAAAGCATTCGATTCTTCCACTCCGGATATCAAAAACACAAGAACAATATCAAAACAACGAAGAACTTCCATGCCTGTTCTTTCTCTCATTTCTCCAGAAGCATTGCTCGGACGCGAGTGGGAAGGCCATACAAGCGGATGAATCCGGCAGCGTCACCCTGGTTGTAGATCCCACTGCCCTCCTCGAACGAAGATATGTCCTGCCTGTAGAGGCTGAACGGGCTGGTCCGGCTGGCCACCACCGCCGACCCCTTGAACAGCTTGAGCTTGACACTGCCGCTCGTCGTCTCCGTCACCTTCTCCATGAAGGCGTCCAGCGACTCCCGGAGAGGATCAAACCATCGCCCTGCGTACACCAGCTCCGCGTACTTGAGCGCCATCGTGTCTTTCATCTGCATCGTCTCGCGATCCAGCGTGAGCGACTCCAGCTCCCGCGCTGCTAGGCTCAGGATGGTTCCACCGGGTGTCTCGTACACTCCGCGGCTCTTCATGCCGACGAGCCTGTTCTCCACCATGTCCACTCTCCCGATGCCGTGCCTGGCTCCGGCATCGTTGAGCGCTTCCAGGAGTTTGGCGGGGGACAGAGCCTTGCCGTTCACCGTGACTGGCAGGCCTCTCTCGAAACTGATCTCCAGGTACCTGGGACGAAGAGCTTTCTTTCAGTGAAGGAGACTGAGGGAGAGCTTACTCTGGCGTATCAGGAGCTTTCTCTGGATTTGTAGTCATGACAAACATGTCCTCCTTGGGTTCGTTCGCGGGGTCCTCGAGAATGTCTCCCTGGAAAAGAGGTCGCTCGTCGTTAAGTCACGCAACAAAAAGGAGATTTGCGATACCTCATGACTAATGTGCCAGAGATTGCGGTCTCGGCTGTAGATAGATTTCTTCGTCACGGGCACTGGTACGTTGTGCTTCTTTGCATACTCTATGGCGTCTTCGCGGCCTTTTATGTCCCATTCTCTCCAGGGCGCAACAACAGCTAGCTTCGGGTTCAATGCGAAGAACGTTAGCTCGAATCTCACCTACAGAAACACGAGGAAACGACTTCTCATGTATACGAAGAGAGGACAAAAAAGAAAAACGAAACTTTGTTACCTGATCGTTTCCTTTCCCTGTGCAACCGTGAGAAACGGCATCAGCTCCAACTTCCTTTGCAGCATCAACCATGGCCTGCACAAAAACCAGCACGAGCTCAATGACCATACAGCAGTTCCTCACTTTCACAAACTTGCCTTTGCAATTACAGGGCGAGCCATCGAAGTTCCAAGCAGATACTTCCTCTCGTACACGGCACCAGCTCGCAAGCAAGGGAAGATAAAGTCTTTCACAAACTCTTCTTTCAAGTCCTTGATGATCAGCTGGCTTGCACCGCTTGCCTTCGCTTTAGCTTCCAACCCTTCGAGCTCGCCCAGGCCCTGGAAATAGCAGAACAGAGATGGCAAGGAAGAAAAAAAGAAATGCTAAGAACCGGCAGAAAATGAAAACACGAGATTGGCTTACTTGCCCAACATCAGCTGTGAAACACACAACCTCGCAGCCATAGTTCTCCCTGATCCAGAAAAACAAAGCCAAAACTCTCAATAAAGAAGAAATCGCTGCATGAGATCCAAATTACCTCAGCCACGGCACGATCACGGACGTGTCCAAGCCCCCACTGTACGCTAGAACCACCTTGTTGAGCTTCTGCCGGATCGCTGGAGCGCTAGAATGCGCCTGCTCGCTGGCGATTGCTGCTACATTCCCGGACGAGGAGCAAGCCATCGCCGCCACTCTACTCGCTCTCGAGATCGGGATCCTCACAGCCAAGTGCGCCGCCCTAGATCGATCCCCCGAGATCAGAGCTACAGCAATGCTGCGGGACGAGGGAGCCAGAGCCGCCATTCCATAAACCCTAATGGAGGATCATACTATACTTTAAACCATTACACATGCTTTAAAAAGTAAAAGTATTTCCAGTCAAATACTTATACCATGGTGATATTTACACGTAAAGTCAGGATGGCCGAGTTGGTCTAAGGCGCTAGTTTCAGGTACTAGTCCGCAAGGGCATGGGTTCGAATCCCATTCCTGACAAAATATTTTTTCTTCATGTGAACTTCCAGAGTTCGGAAAAATCGACGTCCTCGTCTCCCACGGGTTGGAGCTCCTCCTGTTCTTGCGATGGTTTTAATTTCTTGAGTGGCGGCTGGAACGAATCGGCTGTGCTCGTCGTGGTACCCGAGGCTTGGTGGATCTGATCGTCGCAAGTTTGACGGTGTTTGCGCTGTTCTTGTTCTTGAGGACCGGGCGAGGGCTCGTCCGAATTCTTGTGACACGATCGCGTCGCCTCCTCCGTCTTGCTGTACATTCTCTCGAGGTATCTTCCGTGGTCCTCGATCTTCTTCTGCAAATCTCTTTGAATCTGCCAAGGTTTACGAGCAATTCGATAAGACCACGAGAAATTTGTGCAGAGAACCTCGAGCTGTTCGTGGAGTCGCTTTTGGACTTCGAGCTGCAAGCGCAGTGTCTCGGTGATCTGCAGCCCACTGAGAAAGAGAGAAACAAGTTAAAGTAAAAAAAAGTGAAAAGAGTTTTCAAAGAGTTTTCCTAGTCGAGTAATCTCACGTCTACGTATAACGTACGTTTCTACGTTCAATGATGGGAGCTCCAGCGAACATTGCTTAGATTGCTGCTGTTTTGCTGTGGGCCAAAAACGCACAAAATATTGGACCATCCGAAAGGAAAAAAAAACAGAAGAAAGAAAAAAAACAGTTGATCATTCGTACCAACGGGGCTGGGTGGAAGATCTTTGACTAGCCTGTACTTCTGTAAAAAAATATTTTAAATTAAAAAGTATAAATAGAAGCGAATCCGAAAGTTCTCTTACAATAAAATCAAAAACAGGAAAAACCCAATAAAACCAAAAAACAAAAACCAAACAAACAAAAACAAAAAAAAAAAACAGAGAAAAGCTGACCTGGAGATGACTCTTTACGTGAAGAATGTTGACCCCGTCCACGCTCGAGTACGTATTCATGACCCTTAGAATACACTTTGGTGTGGCATCTGTGCGGGGTCATGTCGAAAACGATTGACAGTCGTAAGATTCTCGCCCAGCACCAAAGAGAAAACAATTGGGGAGAGGAGCTTACTTTCGGCACCACCCAGTTCTTCCACTGCTCGTACGAATCGCTCGTGTAGCTCCGGTGTCCATCGCATTCGCGGCTTTGGAACCGGCGAGATGATCGAGCATGGCTGCTGCTGCTGCTGCTGCTGCGAGATTTGCGAGATTCGCGAGCTCTGCGCGGCCGGCACCATGCCATGGAAATCGAAGTTCCTGGATTGATACACGGCCGTCTGATATATAAACTTATCATACGTGGACTTTGAGAAAGAGCTGCAAAGCTGTGGCGTGATTTACCTGGTGATAGCTCGACTGATCGGTGTGTCCTGGGGCTCCCACTATCTCATTCCATATGGATTCGTCGTCCTGGAGCAGCCCGGGGAATTGCTGATCGGGCGCTTCACTGTCATCGAGGAGGATTCTCCGATCTAGGCTCGGCCTGCCTGTGCAGAGGAGAGAAGCTTACTTCCTCCATGCTCGAGCAAAGCCGGGGATTCTTCCGGGAGGGATGGATGGATCGATTGTGCGTACCTGGCGGTGAACAGCTCTGGTGGAACTGCTGGAATTGAAAGTTGCTGTAGTGAGGAGGATCGCCCATGCCCGGCTGCGCGGGCATCCGGTACTGCGGCTTCATCTCCGGCGGCGTGACGAAGCGAGATCGCGAGACGCTAAACGAGGCCTCGTCTTGGAATGGCTGGTGCTGGAGACGGCGATGATCCTGCTCAACCATCACGCCCGAAGCTGGAAAACTTGGCGCGGAGGAGAAATTCTACACGAGCGCTCTTAAATCCCCTCGAGAATGATGACAGGAGAGAATCCTCTGGGGGAAGCGAAGAGCCATCCGCGAGAGCAACGTCCAAGGGAGTGTCTTCGCGCAGTCCGCCCACAGCTAATAGGCGTTGACGGGCACGTGGCGCGCCCGGGGCCGTCGGATGGCGCTGACGAGGAGAGAGAAGAGAACACGCACTTGATCCTGTTCGAAAACTATTCACGAAACATACACAAACACACGATAGATCCTTTCGGGCCCAGGGCATGGTTTATGGCCAACAATAATGTATCCAATTGTGCGCCCTCCATCAAAAGCGTCGTCAATCAATCATCTGATGTCCCTGTCGTGTCAAGCTGCGAGCTGAGCAAACAAATTTCTCCAAATTGCGCACCTTTGCCCCCTTGTCTCGCGGGAATTAGGGCTCTCGTACGGCAGAGCCTTAACTCCCCGCTTCCGTACGAGGCCCCGGATCCGGATCTGGGCCGTCGGATTTCGCCTGGATCCGACGGCGGCAGGGCTCGATCCCAGTCGAGGGGAGCGCTGCCTCCTGATTGGCTCCCCGGTTTCCTATATAGACTTTGAGGAGCGCCCAGGGGAATTCACTCCCAAGAAGGAAACGATCGATTCGAGAGCGCGTAGGGTTTGCCATGGCTGCTGGAGGAGGAGGTCGGGGTAAATCCGCCGGGAAGAAGGCTACTTCGAGGAGTTCCAAGGCCGGATTGCAGTTTCCAGTGGGTAGGATCGCCAGATTTCTCAAGGCGGGCAAGTATGCCGAGCGTGTTGGTGCTGGAGCGCCAGTCTATCTCGCCGCGGTTCTCGAGTACTTGGCGGCAGAGGTGAGTGAAATCTCTCGTGTTCTCCCCTCCCTATTTCATTCTTTTCCATGTCTCGAATCAATCGCGCTGAAATTCTTCCCTGTTTCATTCTTTTGAATCAATCGTGCTGATTGGGTCACTCCATCTCCATCTCCAGGTGCTCGAATTGGCCGGGAATGCGGCCAGGGATAACAAGAAGAACAGGATTGTTCCACGGCATATCCAGCTCGCCGTGAGGAACGACGAAGAACTCTCCAAGCTCTTGGGCAGCGTCACTATTGCTGCTGGCGGCGTGCTGCCCAACATCCACAATGTCTTGCTACCGAAGAAGACTGGCACTGGGAGCTCCAAGAAGGACGCCGCCGGAGACGAGAGCCCCTAAATCGATGGGAAGTTCGATCGATTCGGTCGAACTGGCACGAAGAACCCTAAAAATTCTCTTCACGTGTACATTAACTTGTACGGTAGGAAATGCCGTAATTATTCTCCGTCCCTGTCTGACGCGTCTTGGAAATCTGACGTGGAATGCTGACTGCGCATCTCCTTTGTTCTTATGCCATTTCCAGAGCTCTTTGCTCTGCCGATTTGATTCGAGGTTGCGTTTGCTTCTCTTTTGGCTCTGCTATGGCGATGGTGTTCTTATTCGTGATCTTGTGCTGGATCGCGGGGAATGGTGCCGCGGTGGCGGCCGCGCGCGCCATGTTTGTGTTTGGCGACTCCCTTGTCGATGCTGGAACCAATGTGTTCATCGCTGGAGTGCCCAACGCGGCGAATTTCGATCCCTACGGCGAGACATTCTTCCACAAGCCCACTGGGCGGTTCAGCAACGGGAAAATAGTTCCAGATTTCTTGGGTGCGCAAGAATTTTCTTTAGTTTGTCTATAGAAATTCTTGACTTTGATTTGGTTGAGCGCAGCTGGATTGCTGGGACTCGCACTGCTGCCACCGTTTCTCAAGCCAGGATCGAATTTCTCGCAAGGGGCGAACTTTGCATCGTCCGGGAGTGGGATCTCGAACAATCCAGACAATGTTGGTGATTGATTGAGAGAGGGATCTTGGATTTTCGTTTTGATTCCTGGATCGTTTCTGCAGGATCTCATCCCTCTAAATGCCCAAGTCCGGCAATTCCAGGAGTTTGTGAAGAGACGCAAACCTAGGGAGCTCTCTATCCCGGCTTCCATCTTCTTGCTTGTCACTGGCAGCAATGATCTTCTGGGAGGATACCTCCTAAATGGATCCGCCCAGCAGGCTTTCAACCCCCAGCAATACGTCGATCTCCTCCTCGGCGAGTACCAAAAATCTCTGCTGGTAAGGAAAAGAGCAAGGATTGGGATCATCGGTTCAATCGACACAAAAGAGCTCTTAAATTCTTGCTTTGATCGAGCAGGCTTTGCATCAATCCGGTGCCAGGAAGATCGTCATCACTGGAATCGGGCCTCTGGGATGCACGCCGTCGCTGCGATTACTCCAGGAGATCACCAACAATGCCACCGGCTGCTTGGAGGAATCAAACCAGCTCGCGCTGGCATTCAACACGAAGCTGGCGCAGCTCTTCCAGGAGCTAACGAAGAATCTCACGGACGCGAAGATCATCCTCGTCAAGCCCTACGATTTCTTCCTCGACATGATCAACAATGGCACGAAATACGGTAGGATTTCGAGGAAATTGGATCGATCGAGAGATTTTTCTTTCTTTATCGCAGGATTTGAGGAGACGCAGAAGAACTGCTGTGGCGGTGGAGCATACAATGCGATGATTCCTTGCGGACGCGATGCGCCATTCCTGTGCCACGTCCCATCCAAGTACCTCTTCTGGGATTTCCATCCCACACACCAGGCGGCGCGATTCATCAGCGACCAGGTCTGGGGCGGAGCTCCCGCGTTCGTGGAGCCTCTCAATCTAAGAGCTCTAGCTCAAATTTAAATCCCAAGTTCTTGGCGCCAAAAGTTCTCGCGGCATTCTTCATGGGTGGATGGATCGCAGGGAATGCATCAAGCTCCTCGATTCGTGCACGGATCTCGCCGCCGCGGACAAGCTCGACGCCCACGTCCGCGCTCGCTACGGCGATGCCGATCGATTCCTGGCCAACAAGCGCCTGGAGATGTTTGGGCGGTGCGGGAGCACTGGCAGGGCGCGGGAGATTCTCGACGGCATCGCCCTGGGCGACAGGGATTGCTTCTCGTGGGATCTCATGCTCTCCGCATATGCCAAGAATGGACAGATCGATGCCGCCACACAGCTCTTCCGTGAGATGCACGGCACGACGATCGTCTCGTGGAACACGATGCTCGCCGCATATTCCCGAGATCTTAGCCGGGCCATCGCCGTATTCGATTCCATGCCGGAGAGGAATCTTATCTCGTGGAACTCCATGCTCGCGGCATATGCCCAGAACGGGCATATTCTTGAGGCAAGGTTGGTGTTCGATTCTATGCCCCTTCGCAGCCTAGTTTCGTGGACAACTTTGTTAAAGTCTTACACGCTAATCGCTAAGATCGATCTGGCAAAGATTTTTTTTGACGAGATGCCTGAAAGGGATCTGGTCTCCACGACCGCGATGCTCAACGCATATGCCCAAAGCGGGGATCTGGAAGATGCCAAGAAAGTATTCCAGGAATCTTCTCGGCACAACCTTGTGCTCCTTACTGCGATGGTGGCGGCCTACGCGCACGGCACCCGGCTGGAAGATGCCAAGAGGATATTCGACTGGATGCCCGAAAGGAATGTGGTGACGTGGAATGCGATGCTGTCCGGATTTGCCCAGAACCAACGACTGGATGCCGCGCGGAGGCTGTTCCAGCAGATGCCCGAGCGCGATGTGGCCACGTGGAATGCCATGCTGGCGGGGTATGCCCAGAACGGCCACTTGGAGGATGCCAAGTGGATGTTTGACTCGATGCCGCTGCGGAATATTACGACGGCAAATGCCATGCTGGCTGCGTATGTACAAAGCGACCGAATCGAAGAGGCTAGGCATCTTTATAGATCCATGGAGGAGAGGAATCTAATTTCTTCGAATATTATGCTTACCACATATGCCCAATCGGGGCAAATGTACGAAGCGGAAACAATCTTTGATTCATTGCCGGAAGTCAACGTTATTTCGTCGACCTGTATGATAGGAGCTTATTCTTCAAACAGTCATGTTGACCGTGCGAAGACAATGTTTGACCAGATTCCACACAAGAATATTGCTTGTTGGAATTCGATGCTCGCTGCATATACCGAAAATGGGCAATTAGAACGAGCGAAACTTTTCTTTGATTCCATGCCTGAGAAGAACTTGATCTCGTCAACAACATTGTTGGCAGCGTTCTCGCAAAACGGCCATATTGAGGCCGCCAAAACCTTGTTTGAAAGTTCGCCCCAGAGAGATCTGATCTTGTCAACTGCAATGCTTTCAGCCTATGCCCAGAACGGGCATCTAGGAGATGCCTGCGATCTCATCACTAGTATGCCCGAGACGAACCTCATCTCCCAGACAGTGATGCTAATCGTCTACGCCCAGAGAGGTTTCTTCAACCACGCCAGGCAAATGTTCATCCGGATGCCACAACGGAGCCTCATTACCTGGAACACGATGCTGTGGGTATTCTCCCTCAACCGCGATCTTGCCAGCGCAAAGGAGCTCTTCGATTCAATGCCCGAGCGAGACCTCGTCTCGTTTAACTCGATCCTCGCCGCGTTTGCCACCTCGAGCCAGGACTCTGGAGTCGCAGCGACGGAAGCTTTCCACAGTCTCCTAGCGGTGGAATCCCCGGACTCCATGTCCTTCGTGCTCGCGCTGCTCGCTCGCAGCCACACTGGCGGGACTGAGTCCGCGAGGAGCTCCTTCGTCTCGATGATCTACGACTTTGGGCTGGCCCCGACCAAGCAGCACTACAACAGTATGATCAATCTGCTGGGCCGGGCAGGGCATCTGGAGCGAGCGCTGGATCTCGTCGCGAGCATGCCGTTTGTGGCCGACGCCATGGATTGGAGATCCCTGCTTGGATCGTGTAGCAGCGGTGGTGCTACTATCAAAGGCAATCGCGATGTTCCAACGAGCGCTCTTGGTTTGGAACCCAAAGACGGTGCGTCCTACGTCTTGCTCGCCAACATTCTTTCGAATGGTAATATGCCTTGAACGTGGGGCTTTTACTTTAGGGCTGACTTGGCACACCATTTGGTCAAAACAGGCTAGATTTAGGGTGTGTTGAGCTCACATTTTCTCTCGCCTCCTGAATGGAGGAAGAGCGCGTCTTCACCCTGGACGACGCGATCGAGTCGTTAGGGTTTGGGCGATTCCAGTGCTTGATCCTCGTCTACGCAGGTATGTCGTGGATGGCGGAGGCGATGGAGATGATGCTCCTGTCCTTCGTCGGCCCGGCCGTGGAGCAGCTCTGGGATTTGTCCCCGCGGCAAGAGAGCGCCATCTCCAGCGTCGTCTTCGCGGGGATGATGATCGGGGCTTACTCGTGGGGTGTGCTGTCCGATTCCAAAGGAAGGAGGTATGATTTCTTCAGAAAAAACTATTTTTTCCATAGTTTTGGAGCTAAGATCCGTGGCACAGGATTGGCTTCTTTGCGACAGCCGTGATTACCTTCATTGCCGGATTCTTGAGCTCCTTCGCTCCAAATTACTACGCGCTGCTCTTCCTGCGAGCTCTGGTTGGGATCGGGCTTGGCGGCGGCCCGGTGGTGTCGTCGTGGTTCATGGAGTTTGTTCCAGCTCCAAACCGCGGGACTTTGATGGTGATCTTCTCGGTCTTCTGGACGCTTGGCTCGATCCTGGAGGCCATTCTAGCTTGGGTACGCGTAAGTAATTTATCTCGCGCTTTTTCTCACCATCTTTCTTTTTCCCTTTCGTTTTTTTTCTATTCTTTGAGACTATAATGCCGAGGCTGGGATGGAGATGGCTGCTGGGAGTTTCGTCCACCCCGCTCCTTTTCCTACTGATCTTCTATCCTTTGGTACCAGAGTCACCGAGATACTATGCGGCAAAAGGAGACACCGCCAGCGCGCTGGCTATTCTCAAGAAAATGGCCGCTGCAAACAAGCTGGAGCTTCCGCAGGGGAGATTTGTTTGCTCCGGTGACAAGCACGACGAGGAGGGGGTGGAGCTGGAAGCCACGCAGCTCCTGTGTGAAAAAACTCCCACTCCCGGCAGCAACGCAGTGATCGCGGCGAAAGACCCCCCGATCCAGTTCTTCTCCAAGTTTGCGGTGCTTTTCTCGCCTCCACTGCTGCGATCCACCATACTTCTCTGGTTGGTTTTCTTTGCAAACGCTTTTACTTATTACGGGCTGGTTTTGCTGGCGTCGCAGCTGAGCAGCCAGCAGACGAGGTGTAAGCTCGCCTCCCCCGCGAGAAAAAATTCGCCGCTCCTTCACTCCGGCGACTCCAAAGATCCAGTTTTTCGAGATGTTTTGATAACAAGCTGTGCTGGTAAGTTCGTCTCAAAGCTCTTGCGGTTTTGATCTTACGTTGTTTCTCTCCAGAGCTTCCTGGACTGATGATCGCGGCAGCAATGGTCGACTATTATGGCCGGAAGGTGTCCATGGCGGTCCTGTTTATTTTCTGTGGCCTCTTCTTATCGCCGCTGGTTAGTCCCCAACCGGAAGGCGTCACTACGTTCCTCTTGTTTGGAGCTCGAGCTTGTATCATGGGCTCCTTCACCATCTTATACGTATACGCGCCGGAGGTGAGCTTGTATTGTAACTTTACGTTGGATCATCACTGATCATGTTCTTCTTTCGTGAAGGTTTATCCAACTTCGTCTAGAACAACGGGCTTGGGCACCGCAAACTCTTTCGCCAGGATCGGAGGCATTCTGTGTCCCCTGGTAGCCGTGGCGCTTGTAAGGACGTGCCACCACTCCCTCGCCATTATGCTCTTCACGCTCGTCTCTGCCATGGCAGCTGCGTTGATCTTCTCGTTTCCAATCGAAACAAAAGGGAGAGCTCTCACCGATGTTGTTTGAGGTCTTCTGGAGCTCCAGCCCCTTGTATACTTCTCGATTCGTTTGTTTGAATAAAATAATTTCTCTTAATTCACCATAGATTTGAATCTTTTTTTAACTTCCAGCAAAAATGTCGATTCTGTGATCAAACATATTGACTTCTATCTTTTCTTTTTTGGTATTTCTAGCGGGACTCCATGGAAAGCATGAAAACCAGAGAGAAGAAATGCTCTGGATCATCCTGTTGCTGATCTTACCACCTTCCCACTTATGTAGATTTCTAATTGTGATAAAACTTTTCAAACTTCATGCTTGAAACAGGCTAGCTGTGGATCATTTTCAACAAGTTGCTCAAGCTACAAGTACTACAAGTCAGGTTTTTTGAGAGCTCGCTGCAAGTGGAGCTATGGATGGCCAAAGAAAGCGTATATCAACCTTAACGATTACATTGGCAACGATGATAATTACCTACGAGATTTCTCTTCCACTTGCCGCGGCATGAGGATCGTCACTGTCGAAGTCTATGGAGAAGGCAGGTATGTTGATCTTGCTGGGTGGTGCAAAGGATACGATCAAAAGGATCGCTGGACCGCTTTTTCTCTCGACTCTCACCTAGCAAACAACAACGGTTACCTTGAATGGTGTTACTAATTAAAAAAAAAAAAAAAACGATTTTCGTTTACCTTCACACATGGAAGTCAGGAAGAAACGCAGCTTAGAAGCTGCTCACAGAGCTTGCGGACTTCCGGCGAGGGGTCTGCCCTGGAAACTCTGGAGAGAACTTGCAAAGCATTCACCAGTGAGGAACCGCCTTCCTTGAGAATGGATTCGTGCACAAGGAGCGCAGCGAGCAGCTTCACGCCAGCCAGCCTCTCCTATAGGAACAGAAGGGGATTTCGGGAGCTTTTGAGAGTAACGAGATTTACTTTTGCTACCTCGTCTGCCGCTTTGTCGTTGTTCAGGCTATCGAGGGAGATATCGAGCAAAGTCTTTGCGTATGCGGGCAATGATGCTGCTTCCTTGAGGTTACAGACCGCACTAAACAGCACCTGAACGCACGCGGCTCTTACTATAGATTCGCTTTCCCTCTGCAAGTAAGAGTCCCGTTAGAACAAGATTTCCAATTCAAGTTCCAACCTTAAGCAGCGCTGAGACCACCGGAATAACTGACAAGAATGCGTCATGAGAGCTGGCTGTTATCTTGGAGGAGGAACTTATAAGGACGTTTGCCATGCACACTCTAAAACTGACCGGAGCAGCAACACAAGTGGCGTCCTGGATACTAACCGAGCTGCAAAAATCTGCTGGCGACGTGCCACACAACGTCGCTATGGCATACGGTCGATTTTGCAGGCAAGACATAACGCCATTTATAACTCGCTCTACCTTATTTCCTTCATCTGCAAAACGATAATTAGAATGAAAGGAACTTCTTCCATCTTTCGTACCTTTGTCGATCATCTGAATCATTGAGGTGTTAAACTCGGCACGGATCATAAAAGCAAAAGAATCGATACAGCCATGTTGTGCCTTCTGGACTTCTGCAGATGATGCAAAGTCAACATTTGTTTTTCTGGTATAAACTAGAGCACTTATATACCTTCTGAATTTGTAGGCCAGAGCAACATTGTTGTAAGGAGAGCTTTGATTTGCCCCATTACGTCATTGGAAAGGTTCTGGCAACCCCTCGTCTGCGTAGAAGCACGTTAGATTAATACTGTCTACAAGACTAAAAAAGAGTCCAATACCATAAGTGAGCTGCAGATTGAATACAAGCACGACTTAACTGCCACTATATCCATATTGTTCATAGCGATTCTTAATATATCAATCACCAGCGGGAGCAGTACCTGAAAGGAAACAAGTTATCATTTTAGACAGTGAGGTGAATACACTTGCCTCAGGAAGAAGACGTCCACTTAATTCGGCTGAAAGCTTCCGCACATCATCGAATTCGGAGGTACACATCCTGTTAGACGTAAGAATGAGAAATGGTCGCACGTTGGTAAAGACAATACCATTCAATCAGCATGCCTGTTATGGAGGAGCTTAGTGGCAATCCTGTGCGAGACAGTAAGTTAGTAAAACAAGAAACAACAAATGATCATAAAGCTTGCCTTGTAGAGGCGCGTATAGCTCTTCACATTCGATTGCATCATAAGCTCTCAAAGGCAGTAGCTTCAACACAAGCAGTGGACTAAGATTCCGAAAGAGATTTTGATCGCCTACGTCCTTCTTGTTGCTGCATACAAAAGCAACACGAGTATGTCGCGTGCTCTTTCTTTTTCTTGACTGAACTTACGTGGAAACCTCCAACATTTCTTGAAGCGTGCGCGCGAAAACGAGTTGGTGCACATCAGCCAAGTGGCTACTGATTTCACTCAGAAACCTTGGAAGCAAAGGATTTGATGGATCACTGAACATCTTCTCAAGGAGGAAAATAGCCAAAACGTTCCAGTTTTTCACCTGTTCCAAGGTATTGTTTTAAACCATAAGCCAATACAGTATCTGGCACTTACCGAAGGAGCCCAAGATGGCAGAAGACTCATTATTTGATCAATATCTAGCATAAAAAGGAAGCTTTAGTGCTTTAGTGAAGAAACTAAAAAAATAACCTGTTTTTATGGTGAGGACACTCGTTCCACCTTCTCCAGCTCGAGAAGCTAAAGAAAGATTTCTGAAAAACCACAGCCATGTAAGCCATCAGAAAAATTCGGCTAATGCACTCACCGAACACAGTCCAGGAGGACAGACACTGCTTGCCGTTGATCCGAATTGTGTTCTAAAATGGCAAGAAGCGTTGAACGTGCAAAATGTTGAGCTTTCTGATCGGGATCGTATAGAAGTTGGATAAGAGAAGGCATTACAACTGATGGATCTGGGTATCATAGTGCAGTAGAAGTAAATTAGACGTTAATTTTCAAGTGATACGTGCTTACCAAGTTTTACAAACAACGCTGAGGCACTAGTACGATCCATGAGTACCCCATCGTGGACGCGCTTCAACAAATGAGTTGCAAGAATATGACTGTCAAAGCGGATAGATAAACGCAAGTAGTTGATGTGATACTTTCGAACCTTAGAGACGAAGTGTTCAAAGCTTTTGAGTCGCAAACTCTTTGCACTAGTGTTTCAAGGATGTCAATACCGTTTTGTCGCCGACAGAGATTTTCCGAATCAATCAGAAGAAACACTCTTTGTAAATCTGGCGATGGATGGCTAAAACTGTTAAGAAGGAACCATGGATGCTAACAAATGCCAACACAGGATACAGTAGAAAATACTCTGCAACAAAGTTGACGGTCGTGGTTGAGGGCCTTTCGTTTCTGTAGAAAGCCTCCATTAAACTCTTCTCAAATGTGACCATAAAATCTTTGCTCGTCTTCTCGGTGTTTATGAATTTGGACAGAAGAAACCTCAATATCGCAACTGCAATAACCACGGTTTCTTTCTCGTTTCTAGATAGCTGCGTAAATGTTAAGACCACATCAGGAAAATAAAATTGATTTTTACCATGCACAAAAGAAGTCGTGACAATTCTCCATCATCAAGCGATAGGGAATCAAGTTTGTCAGCGTCCAGATGTCCAAGTAAAAGAGCGAGGCACGTCAGAAAATAGCAACGCATCTTAGACCAGCTTTTTTCGCTTTCACGATCCCCATCTGGCATATGGTGCTTTACAAGTGATAGAACCACTAACATCAAGCTAAAAGTCAATGCTTTTATCACGACGAAAGTACCTGTAGCCCCGTCAAAAATCTTTGAAAACTCTGAGATGGAAAAGATGCTGTGTGTGCATCGGAAATCAAAAGGCTGCTGTATTCTTTCCAGCATAATCTCAGCACGGAGCTCGAAAGGAATTTATCTGCAAAAACTTGAGCATGTCAGCGCTTGTAAAAGTAAAACTGGCTCTGACCTTCACTTGCTGCAATTTGACGAAGATGATTTTGGACCTGCATCAATCCGGCTGCATACAACAGACGTGTGTCGCAATTCCACTTCGAAAGAATAAAGTGAAACAAAAAGGTTCTCAAAGTAGTGTACAAGCATTGTACCTGGTAGAGCTCAGAGACGAGAGCCAATATTTTGTCCCGTTGATCCCAGAGACTAGTATCCAGATTCGTGTCTTGTGCGCAGGCGAGAAACTTGGTGATTCCCAGCGCACAATCCGCAGCTGCAATCGTAAGTCGTGTGGGAAGTATCTTATTCCCGTCCTTGACACTGAAATATCAGCATAGATAACGCAACTTATCGAAACTAAATCGGACCTGGCGTCACGAACTAGTCCAACAAGGTGAGGCACGCACGTTGAGAATATCGTCGCAGACTGGAATTCCCTCGACGCCAACTCTGAGATTAGATGCCGCATGTAAGTCAAAAGCCCAATCTTTTCTTTCCGCGGATTCATACCTCGTTGTCCCGAAATGTTATCTAGCAGCTCTTTGACGACCAAACAGCTCCCTAACTTGATATGGCGATCAAACTCCGTGGAGCATATTAAGAGCGTGAGAGTCTTCACAACTGGATTCCAGGCTTCGTCTTTTCGAAACAGCCATTGAATTATAAGAAGGGCCTTCTTCCGGTTCTTAGGCTGGTATTCGGAAGGAAGAAAAAAAAAAATGAGAACCATAAACGAGAGAGAGAGAAAAAAAAACTTACGTCTCTTAGCAGAGTAACACAAATCTTCACAATTGTTCCCTCGTCGTTGGAGAGACATTTCACGTGTTCTAACAAATAAATCAAGCGCTGATTCGTGCCTATACATTCAATGCAAATCAATCTCCTCTAGAAAGAAAAAATAGAAGAACTTACTGCTGGAAAACCCCGGCAAGCAAGCGCGATTAATCTCGCGCTTATCTGCCAGCATTAAGCCGCCTAGAACAGATCCAAGCGATGGAAGCTGGGAATTCGCGGTGCTGAGCTCCATCGCATCGCTACCGGATTCGCTAAAACCCTAAATCGCCCTAAAAACTCAAATAGATCCCGAATATCCCGTTGACAACATAAAACTTAAAAGCAGCCGTTGGATCTGGCGCGCAAGAGATCGATCGTTTTTCGTACCGCGTACGGCCCGCGTGTTTGTTACACATCACAATGTCCCGCATGCAGGAAAGCGGGGATCGCTTTCGGTTTTTCATGCCGGATTTGTGCTCGAGCAAGCGATCCTGCAAAGCAAGGGAGGAAAAAAAAAGTGGTGAGTGGTGAGCTACGATACGAAGATCAAATGTGAGAATTACCAGGCCTCGCAGCGCCACCAAAGTTGTGTGACTCAATCTAACGATACCAATTATGGACAATCATTCCAACGATGATAAAAGGAGCGGAGAAACTAGCCTGGCGCAAGGATCACGAGAGAAAACGATCAATCACAGCGCTAGGAACGCTACTAGCACAATAAATTCCAGCGAAGAAGGAAACGAAAACGAATGGATTCCTTACAGACCTCGCTGGATGGAGGGAGGGACCGCTTGCTAGCTTGGAGTGGTAGAGGCGGTCGATCGACGACTTTGATTGTTAGGTGCCTCCCAGCTCGATCTACAATTCTTGTGAGTGTACATCGGAAACGAGAGAGAGAGAGAGAGAGAGCAAAAAGGAGAAACCAACGAGATCATACCTGGTCTTTAGGAGAAAACTTTCTCGGCCTTCTTTGAACGCTTGTACTCCCGAGGCACAACCGTGCAAGATCCTGCCATTTTTAAAATGGTAAAGCCCGGCCTCATCCCAAGCGTGTTGAAACCATCCCTCGGATTGACTCGAGTTTCTCCTTTCCAATGATTTTTGACGGCGACGCTGCTACCAAGAACCTGTAATGCCTCCGGAGAGTGACTCTCTGATGCTTTGGTTTAGTCTGCCTCTGCCAGCCACTTGTTCCTCGTCTTCTCGCAGCTTTTTCCGTTGCCAGTCGAGATCGTAGGCTGTGTTGCGTCACAGAAATACTCGAGTTGGACAAGTTTGGTGAAGAACATGATGCCAGTCCATAATCCCGCGGGTACGATACTACTACTTTTTGTTCGTCGTAGAGCTTCTCGGCGGGACGAGATGATTAATTTGCATGCCGCCGCAACGACACCGATGCTCTACTCCCTGTTCAGTACAGAAAGGAGATTAGTTTAGCTTCAAGATGAACGCGCAAAGCTCTCTCAAGCGAGTAATGCACATCAAACGAAGCGATCACTTGACAGATGCCCTTTAGAAAATGATGTTGATATTGGCCCAGTGCGGAGGCTCGCAAAAGCAAAGCCACTTGACTCCGCAACCCCCAAAATTCCCTTGAGATCAAAGACGTCTTACACGACAGTACGTTTCTATTCAGATCGAACGACGACTCTCAGTGCGAAGACAGAAACGTGTAACTTGGAGGAAAATTCTCGCAACACTGAGATGAGCAGCTCAGCAAAAGGGATACGACGAAAGACCGAGACTAAGATGCCAAAGAATGCGTCTCCAACAAGCATAAAAACCTCTCTAAGCACACACACACAATTAAGCATGACGGATGTATGACGTACCCCGTGTAAGCGCTCGTCGTTAACTTGGTATGGCAGGGGCTGCGACAATTACTGTACCAGCCAGTCCTCGCTCCGTGCCTCCTAGAAAGCCAGCACATAGCGGACTACACTTATAGCCTCCTATGTGCATGGTCTTCCCTGTCTAGGAGTTGTAATCCCCGCTGGTGCTGGAGATTGTCGATATCATCTGCCAGTCGGGATGAAAAATAAGAGCCAGTCACCGACGCATTCCCACCATGAAGCTCACCTCACTCGCAGGGAATAAAGATCAAGCTCGAAGCGGAAGAAAACGAGGTGGCCCTGCATACCCCGGCGTACTACTTGGCGTGCAACCGAGTTCGTTGCTACCGTGCACCGGAACAAAAAGGACGGCTTTAAACGGAACGGAGGAACCCCTCGGTCGCTATATAATGTTGAATGCCTCTCGTTGTCTTCTTCCAGAGAGGCCCTTCATTCCAGCAAACCGGAAGCAAGAGGTGACAACATTCTTCTCCTTCGTTTTGTCGCCATCGTCGGCGTCGAGATGAGCTAGCATCAGGAGCAAGGTACCTGGGAAAAAAAATTGAGAAGAAGAAAACGAGAGAAAATCTTCTTGCCTTGTCTTCGATTTCTCCACATACTCCTCGTCGCCGTCTCGTGGTCGGGTGAAGGAGGATCAAAATGCAGCATTTTGGGGCTACCACGCTTTACGAGGATCACAACTACTTTGCTCGCTCCTCGGAAGCTTTCACGCTGGAAGGGGGCCTGGGTTCCGACACCGGCGCTGGCTTGCTGGATCTTACTGACACACTCGAGAAGCAGCTCGAGGCCTCGAATCTGGCGCTAAGTGACGCTCCACAACTCAGCTCGGAGTTGAACGTCCCTTCCACGGAATTCGAATTGGATGACCATGGCCAGCTCCTCCATGACATGTTGCAGCAGCAGCAGCCAGCAACCAGCAACACCGTCACATCCTCCACCACCACTGCCGCCACCTGGGAGGAAAACGTCCATGTCCTCCAGGAGATGCTTATGCAGCAGCAGCACATCCAAGTCCAACAGCAGCAGCAAAACTTCTTCGGCAACTCCACGCCACCAAAGTTCCGAAGAGAGTCGGAGCTTCTGAGCCTCCTCCAGCTTCCACGCTGTGCTTCAGGAGGAACTATCTCTGGACCATTCAGTTCCGTGATCTCCAAAAAACTGAGCCATCCCGCAGTGTCATCCTTCACCGCCGCCGAGATAGGAGGGGACTCTTCTCATCTCCACGGACAGCAAATGCTTCCCCAGCCTTCCTTCAGGCACTTGCTCCACACCTTGCCTCATCCGCCCGACCACCCGAGCTCGAAGCCGGGTATAATGCGTCCCCCTGGCTTGCTGGACTATGAAGACCGAGATAACAGCGCCGGTCACGAAGAGCGCCGGCTCTTTCCAAGCCTGATCGAAAAGAGGGACTTCACTTTCGCCAAAGGAGCAGAGAGCCGAGGCATCAACCACTTTGCAACCGAGCGGCAGCGGCGTGAATACCTCAACGAGAAGTATCAGACTTTGAGATCCTTGGTCCCAAACCCCTCAAAGGTTCGTTCCGCATTCCTGAGCCTCCGGCCTGCTGTCCATGCTGTTCGTTCTTCCGCTGTGCTGCATTTTTCTTTCGGCCGAACCAAGTCTCACTCCAATCTATGATCGCAGGCTGATAGAGCTTCTATAGTCGCGGACGCCATCGACTATGTCAAGGAGCTCAAGAGAACCGTCCAAGAGTTGCAGCTGCTCGTCGAGGAGAAGAGACGCGGCTCCAACAAGCGGTGCAAGGCGTCACCGGACGATCCCTCGGCCACGGACGTGGAGAGCACCACCGTGATGCAGCAGCCGGGAGGTACGAGAGTGTCCAAAGAGACAACTTTCCTGGGCGATGGCTCGCAGCTCCGGAGCTCCTGGCTGCAAAGAACATCGCAGATGGGAACGCACATCGACGTCAGGATCGTGGACGACGAAGTGAATATCAAGCTCACCCAGAGGAGACGACGCAACTACGTGCTCCTCGCAGTGCTGAAGAGCTTGGACGAGCTCCGCCTCGATCTACTCCACGCCAATGGAGCCAGTATTGGCGAGCACCACATTTTCATGTTCAACACCAAGGTAGTGCTCGCTCCTTCCTCCTTTCTTCTTTCTCTTTTCCTTTTCTATTTCTTTCTTTTCTCCTCCGCGTTGATCTTGCCAAGGTAGACGCGATCCATCAGCACATCGCTAAACTCTGGAAAGAAAGTTTGGATTTTCGGTCTTTGCAGATAATGGAAGGGACGGCTACCTTTGCGGGCCAAGTAGCGGCGAAGCTGATCGATGCGGTGGACCGGCATATAACCCTGGCCTCGTCGAGCTACTGACGATCGAGAAAAGCTCCCAAATCTCCGAGAAGCTGGATCATCTAGGGAGAGCACAAGATTCTTTGATAGATCACTAGCAAGAACAAGATTGAAATCTAATGCTTAACATACCCGGCTCCATCGATCGATCTCTCTCCCTCGCGCGTTGATCGATCTCTCTCGGATCGCGTAGAACCTAAAACCTAGAGGATTATCCACGTGTCGCAATTCTAGCGAGTGCGCGCGCTTTTCTCGATCATAACGAGAACAAACTAGATACAAAGAATAGGGTTTAGGAGGAGTGAGTGGGGATGGAGCTCACGCCGGAGGAGCTCACCGGGATCTACACTTGGGTATGCTTGCTCCTCGCAAATGCGCGCTTCGATCGCTTCTAAGCTGACCGGCATTGTTTAGTCCCGCCGCAGGTGGATGAGATTCCCTTGTCCAGGCCAAAGAAGAACATCGCCAGGGATTTCAGCGATGGAGGTATAGAATGCCCGTTTTTTTCTGGATTTTAGGCAAGCTCTTAGCTTTAGATGGAACATATGATTGATTTCTTCTTCTTCTGTCCAGTGCTTGCTGCCGAGGTTGTATCGTATTACTGCCCTCGACTTGTTGACATCCACAACTATAGCGCTGCAAACAGCTTGGCACAAAAGATGTACAATTGGAGCACTTTGAATGGTAAGGGATTTTTCCTTTTTTCCTTCTTTCTCTTTTTTCATTCTCGTGATCTCCCAGAAAGAGTGTTCAAGCACTTCAATCTTCAGCTATCCAAGGAGGACATTAGCGCTGTGGCGGGTGCCCAGCCTTTGGTGATCGAGGCTTTCTTGAAGCTTTTGAAAAGCAAGGTACTGGCACGAGCGTGCACGGGAGCACTTGTGTTTTCTCTTCGGATTTAAACGTGTGATGCTGTGGCTGGCAGCTGGAGAAATGCCCGTCATCCGCAGCCCGGAAATGTGAAACCGATAAAGCTGATGAGGGTAAGACGTACGCTCAGCCTGGAATGTATATACATACCGAGAATTCCTCCTGTGCTTGCAGAGTGCAGGCCTCGCGTTCCGAGAAGGTGGTTTGTTTTCTTCCAGATATGTTTTGATATTGCCATTTACGTGCTTTGTTCCAGACATTTTTTCGAAAAGAGCAGCAGTGCGGATAGAACATCGTCTTTGGTATGGTATCATTTCTTGTCTTGTTGATCTAATCTCGGCCTCAACAGGCATCGCACAAGGCTGCCGCTCAACTTTCCGACTCGGAAACGCAGACTTTGGCGTCGCAAGAAAATGATTCAAATGGTGTGGTAGCTACTCCAGCTCCAAACACGGCACAGATTCGCGAGCTGCAAGAAACCATTGAGGTGGTTCCTGCTTTATTTTTTTCCTGGCTGAGAATTCTTGTGTGAACAGGTCTTAGAAGCCAAGGTTTTCAGGCTAGAGCAGCTCATGAAGCTCAAGGGCGGGAAAACGGGACGGCTGAAAAGGTTATAGAACAAGGTCAACGCCTGTGTATTTTTCTATATAGCATGTCAATAGATCGTTACGGGTGGCTGCTTTTCTATTTAATTGTCGTCCTGGGGAAAGATTGCCATGCATAGTTCGTAGCTGCTCAACTTTCCTGGATTGCTGATAAGAGCGCGCTTGCGGAACTGAAAACGGTTGACCCGTCGTTAAACTGGTGAACTTTGTCAAGAGATATTTCTTTTTGCAGAATTCTTCGTGCTTCCCTCATTGAATTCCGTGATGCAGATGGTCTTCTGGAGAGCAGAACGCGACGAGCGAACACTAAGCAGTATAAAGTGCAGAATGTGACGAGGTAACACAATGGAGAAGTAAATGGACCACACAGCCGACCGCAACGTTTGATAGTTACAAGCAACTGACACGCCATGGTCTCACATCGTTTTCTATTTCCATAGAAGACCCATACGTAAGCGTTGCGACTTTTTTTTTCTGGTAACAGTTCTCTCTTGATCGATACCAAAAGGAGAATAACTTTGCTTTGCTACAGGAATGCGCGACAAGAGTCTCTCTCGGTGCCAACTTTCCCGAAAGCCGTGATACGGGATTGCGATGAGTTCAAATGGCCCTGTTAAAGGTATTGCTGTGAATTATACGAGTTGTGCTGAAGTTTTATGAAGGGAGACTGACCAAACGAATGCGACGAGCTACCACCTTTTGATTGAATAGAATCAAAGGACCACACGGGGATGAGATAGCCGCAGCGATTCAAAGGGGTTTGATGAGCGACCTTCACTGGACAAGGAAATGCCATCTCGTATTTGTCAGGCGCAGGCACTGTGAAGTTGCTTGTTCCTCTCAACGCAACGAGAAAGAGGAAAATAGACACAAAGGTGCGTGGTTCTTTCGGTTGGCTCATCTCACTCAAAGAGCGCTGCGTGTTGACGGTGGCTCCTCTATCCGTCACGCGCTACCCCATTTATAATGAAGCTATGGTGTGCTCTGTTCGCAGAGCTCGACGACGCAAGAAGTCATCAAGGACTTCGTGACAGACGATGAAACTCGGAGGAGACAACGCTATTCATCATCTCTGCTGGCTATTCTCGCTTCTGTCAATTACGGGTACGTGAACATCCATCGTACATTTCGAGATTTCTAAACTTCCAACTTCTTCTTCTT